ACAGGTAAGACGTATCACCGACGTCTGGGGAATGTGGCGGGGAAGCAAATGACTGGTGGCCCTGCGTGCGTGCAGCCTCGCGTGTGGTCACCTTTGATGGGGTTGATGATGTCCCAGAGACAGCGGCACCTGCAGGCCTTGCCGTGGCGGTGGCTGTTGCTGTTGACGTGGTGGCTGGTGCCGATCGTGTGGCAGCGGCGCTGGCGGCGGTGGTGTTCGGGCCCGCTGCGACGACGGTGTCGTGAAGTTCCCTGACGGGACTCGTGGTCCGTGGGCTTCGGTCTGCTCGCGCCAATGCAGAATGCAGTCTGTCTTGTTTCGGTGGCGCCTCGTGCACAAACTCCGCAGCTGCGTGCATGTGCATGTGCGTGTGTGTGTGTGTGTGTGTGTGTGTGTGTGTATGTGTGTGTCTGTGCCCGGGAATGTCGTCGCTGCTTCGACTAGATGCAGTGCGCATGTGGCATGGAGATGGAATACGAAAAGCTCAGGGTTGTTGTGTCGTGTTGTGTTGTGTTGTGTTGTATTGCGTTGTGTTGTGTTGTATTGTGTTGTGTGGTTGGTGCGTGCGTGCATGGACTTACAATCAAAGGCTTTTGTGGCTTTGGCCAGTTGGCGCAGGGCAAAGACGGCGGCCTGGACGGAGAGATGAACACACAAAAAAAAATTGATGAGCGACGAAGGTAACATAAATGGGCCCATGTCACCTTGTTGGCCCTGCAAACTGTAAATTGAAAGTGCTCTGCTACTGTCCTCTTCACACCGACACACACGCACACACACACACACACACACACACACACACACACACACACACACACACACACACACACACACACACACACACACACACACACACACACACACCGACCTTGAGTGTTGAGATGTTTGAGCTGCGACGACGGCTGCACGTCAGAACCAAAATTATCGTGCGCATGTATTTACAAGCGTGCATGTGCGCGTGCATGTGAATGTGTGAGGAGGTAAGCGGGGAGAAGCAACATGTTGACAAAGAGGGCGCCACATTCGATTGAGATAGTTGTGTAAGATGGCGTTTGTAAGTCACAAGGTGCAAGCAAACAACCAAGCAAACAAACAAAGCATGGGTGTGCGTGCATACATGTTGGCGACGGCGTGCTGTGCAGCACGGTTGAAGCGTTCGCGTGCAATGCGCTTGCGGAGTGTGCGGATGTCCTCCTGTGCTTGAGAGAGCGCCGTGTCCTGCTTCTGCTTTGTCAGCCTCAGCTCGTCCACGTGCTGTAACAAATTACGGAGAGATGATATGTTGTTTAGACACTCGCACATACGCATCATCAAGAACATGTGTTTGCAAATTGTCATGACTCTTCACACCACACGCACGCAAACACACACACACGCACGCATATGTACACATCCAGACACACGCACCCAGACACGCACCCAGACACGCACACACACACCTGGTGGAGGGCATCTGCTTCCTTTTTCTCCCGCTCAATATCGCCAACAAGCGTGGCCACCTGTGCCGAAAATTCGCGGCGCTGGGTCTCAATGCGCTTCCTACCCCGGCAGTCCACAAACAAACGAGGAGCACATATGTCAGCAACACTCCTCTCCTCTCTCGTGTGTGTGTGTGTGGGGGGGGCTTGCGTGTGTGTATGTATGCATGTGCATGTGTGTTTGTGCGTGTCACTCAGCACACACACGCCATTTCTCTCTGTCCCTCTCTATCTCTCTATCTCTCTCCTTGACTTGCCTCCTTCCCCTTCCTCACTTACTCGATCTCATCCATGGACGTCTGCGCTTCTTCGTTTAAGCCGGAAGTGGAGCATGCGGCGTGCTGCTCCACGTCATCCGCATGAGCACCCTCGTTGACCTGGAGGCGATGACGCGTGGTGTGAATGTGAATGTGTGGCTTTGTGAAGAAGTGAGCCACGCAAGGGTGCCGATTGCTTGCAAGCAATGGATGCTTTTCATGGCCTCACCTTTGCGACCTTGCGACAGCGCTTCAGCACGCGGCGGACCTCTGCCTTGTAATCGCCGGCGATGAGCCTGCAAAGGGGTTCGTGCATGAGGGTATTGTGTGAGGTGTGGGATGTGTGGGATGTGCGTGTTTAGTGTGGGATGTGCGTGTGTGTATGTGGTACGTGTGCGTGTTTAGTGTGGGATGTGCGTGTGTGTGGTATGTGTGCGTGTTTAGTGTGGGATGTGTGTGTGTGTGTGTGTGTGTGGGATATATGTGCGTGTGTGGTTCAAGGCATCGTATGCACGGACGCACGGACGCACCGCAGGAAGTGGTGCAGGGTGATCCACTCGCCCTCCATGGGCACAAGCAGATCACCATCCAGGGTGCGCACAAACACGGGCGTCTCCTGCCCGAAAAAATATCTGAAGAGCGTGGTGGGACGAGAGGAAGAGAGCAACGTGAGGTGAACCACAACACGCACTAGGTGTGAACTGCACTACGCACAAGTGAGGGGGCCGAATATATCTGAAGTCGCATAGCAATTGCGACACACACACACACACACACACACGCATGCACACACACACGCATGCACACACGCACACACACACACACACACACACACACATACACCTACCTGCCGAGGGAGTCGCGCTTGTCAGCGAGATGTTGATCGAGACCGAGGTCTGCGAGCAGAGCGCGAACGGCCGCGTCCATCTCTGCATCACCTGGGGTTTCTGTCCCCTCAGTCTGCACTCAATGACACACAGACACGTGAAACAAAAGCAAAAGCGGGGCAAGGAGTGAGCGACAACGCAGCATAATACACACAAACATGAGAGGGGAACATGCAGTGCATCCGTGCGTGATTGTCAGCAAAAGACACCCAACTCACGAGTGCGACTTCGTCGTCGAGTGATCGCTCCATCTTCACGAGGCGTGGCGGTTCAACGCCGTGCTGGCAGCGCGCTACCTCCATGAGGCTTGCATGTGTGTGTGTGTGTGTGTGTGTGTGAGTGGGAGTGTGTGTGCGAGTGTGTTTACGTGTGAGTGTGTGTGTGATCTGGTGGAAGGTGGTGTTATGTTGAACTGTGAACTGGAAAACAGGCAGTCGATATCACACACGTACACACGTACACCCGGTACAACCACCACCACCAATGGGCTCCACTTACCAGTAGATGACTTGCTTCATGTCCTTCTCCAACACAAGGTCGTTGGTTTCGAACATGAGGTCGTCTGGAATACCAAGTCGTCGTGCCCATGCAATGAACTGCGCAATGTTGTCGCGCGCAGCAAACGTCCCTGAGAGAGTTGTGTGTGTGTATGTTGTGTATGCGTGTGTGTATGTGTGTGTACGTGTGTATGTGTGTGTACGTGTGCGTGTGTGTGTACGTGTGTATGTGTGTGTGTGTGTGAATTCGGGAAGCAGGGATGCACGAAGACGAGATTGGAGGACAGAATCCCGGGAGGGGGGGGGGCGGAAAAGGCGCAGACAAGAAGCTACGTGCACAACAACACAACAACAACACAACACACCATGGCATAAGCACCTGCTTTGGCGTTGCGACGGACTTGCAGCTTCATGGTGGGAAACTCTTCTTCCACGCGGTACTCTTGACGATATTGCACTTCGCCAGCCTGGATTGCCTTTGCAAGATCGAGAAGCACAACGCCAGGACCTATGCACGAAAACGCCATGTAGGTGGCATGAAGGCAACGGAAGGGCGATCCAACGAAAAGGAACGCACGGCAGCACAGTGAAGCACAAGCACGAAGCATGGCACCACGATCCTCACTCACCCAACGTCTTGACAAAGTCCTCTGGCGCAACCTCCCGCTGCAGCACACCTGGAACATCACGCAAGTGTGTGCATGAGTGTTCAACAGCAAGCAACACCAGGCAGCGGAGTTGCTTTTGCTTGCAGGCAACACAATACAACACAAAACACACACACACAACACACACACACACACAACACACTCACGATTGATCCATCTGCAGAGATCGTGAGTGTAGATGTTGAGGCGTTGCGCCAGCAGCTCTCGCTGCCACTCCTGCAGCTGCCCTTCATTCATGCGCGGCTTCATGGTCGGCTGGATCGGATGGATGTGGTGGTGGTGGTGGTGGTGGTGGTTGTGTTGTGTTGCTTGTTGCTTTGTTTGGTTTTCGATCTTTGGTGGTTGCTTCGCTCTTTGCTTCTGTTTTGCTGCTTGTTGGTTCGTGGCGAATGTTGTTTGTGGCAAACAAAAACAAGCAAGCAAAACAAAACGAACAAAAGCAAGAACAGACAGAGAACCCTGCTCCTTGAACGCAATGAGTACACTTGCTTGCACCAACAAGCCAAGCGGTCAGCTCAAAGTCAAGCGAGCAAGGAAACCAAACACTAGGAGACAAGCACAGAACGGGAAACAAAGAAATGCACACATACACGCAGACAGATGAAAGACAGGGCGGGTGCACGTGGACAAGCACAACAACAATGACAACGAGACGAAGGAAAACAGCACTCAAGAACCTCCCTCACTTGAACGAGAGAGAGAGAGAAGAGAACGGGAAAGAAGACAGAAACGGCAAGCTGCTGTCATATCGTGTCACATCACACACACACATCAAACGAAAAGCAAAGAGCGTCCATTGCAACTGCCACACACACACACACACACACACACACACACACACACGCACAACTCCACTTCGCCACTTGCGGTAGACTATCAAGACTCAACATGTGCCCTTTTCTAGTCGAGACTCAGTAAGGAAAGTCGTCTCCAATGTCCAGCTCATTGGCAAACTCTTTGGTCTTGCTGATTGGTGGAGTATGGCCATACGTCTTCAAAAAGTCGCGCAGCTTGCGTTGTGTGTCGTTGGCTGGCCACACGGCTCCCGTGCCGTACTTGCGGTAGAAGCGATCGCACATCTCGTTCACAGCCATTCCGCTCCGCTGTTGGTCGGCGTACTTGTCAAGCTGCGTTTTCATCTGCACATTCCGCTCACGCAACAACTGCCGCACAAACTCATCTCTGTCAATTTCACCATTGGTGAATTGCGTGACGGTCTGGCGCTGCCCCCTCATGAACTCCTCCTCGCTGTTGAGGATGAGCGCCAGCTGACCGTTGCGGTCCTGCCGTGCCGTGCGGCCCTTCCATTGAACCCACTCGCGGTAAGAGTCTGGGATGTGTGTGATGATGACCAGCAGCCCACCGGCGTCATCCACGCCTTCGTCTGTCACCTTGTAATCGTGCCCGCGGCCGCCAAAGTAGTCGGTCACCGTCACACGCCACCCAGCAGTCGGCCCACTGCAGGTTCCAGACTGCTGCGCAGGTTGCGTCGCTTGGTCGATGATGGTTTGCCACTTGTCCTTCTGGGACACTCCATTGGCAACTTCCAGCAGCAGCTGCACGCGCCCCTGGCCCAGGCGTCCCTTCAGCTGATTTGACACTGCTGCTGCTTCTTTGGGGTTCGGCGTAATCACAAGCACCGGCACCGAATCTGCGCTGCCTTCGGCCGTCTCGATCACCTCCGATCTCTGCTGCTGCGCACTGGCCACTACCTTCACGAACCGCTGCTGCGGCTCCTGCTTGCACGCATCGGTGCACGTGTCCAGGAACGGCGGCACGCTGAACACGCCCGCATCGTACGTGGTCCGCAGATACTCGCGCTCCGCCTCACCGCCCACAGAGCCAGTGAGCCCCAAGATGAGCGCGTACTGCTTGAACACGTGCGGCGTGCTGACCACGTAAAACACTGTGTCAAAGCTCGGGCTGTCGTTGTAACCGGCAATAAAGTTGACGTACTGGAGCGTTGCGCTCGTGTAGTGGGTTGGGCGACCACGCCCATCCAGGATTCGGTGTCGCCCATCCACCAGCGCGTAGTCTTTTCCCTCGCGCCAGGTCTGGGCGGTTCGGAAGGCCGCTTGAGCCTTGTTCCAAACGCGCTCGGGGCACCCAGTTGGTTTGGCTGCAGCGAGCCCGCTGCGCTTCAGTGCTTGGAAGCACTTGAGGATGTGTGCGCTGTTGTCCTCGTCGCGTTTGACAAAGCCGCTGACGGGGTTTTGATCAATCACCAGGTCATCCACCTCATCCACAATGAGCACGACGTTGCGGAACGCGTTGCACCCTTTCGGGGCCTCACTTCGGTGTTGTGCCTCAACATCCTCTTGCAAGCAGTACGTAATGTCAGCCTCCTGTGCAATGGATGTGCTCACTGTGACGCTGGTGCCATCAGACTTCTTGAACTGGGAAAAGAACGCCTTGTAGTTGCTGTAGTCGCGGTCAAGCAGACTCACGTTGTTCTCCAGGATGTGCACACGTCTGTCTTGGACGCACACAAAGTACAGCGCCATCATGATGATGATGACCGACTTTCCCTCGCCGGTGCCCACCTCCGCAATCAATGACTTCAGCCCTGACGCTTCAGAGCCAAGATTGCTTGTCGACTGAGCCACGGACAAGCGGTAGAATGCCGCAAACATGAGCGTGGTGATGATCTGCGTGTTGTGCGGCGTCATGGGAATCGACACAATGTCCTTCATGCGCTGCATCCAGCGCCCAGTAAACTCGATGATGAATGACATCTCAGGATCGGCAGTGGTTGTGCCCCGCGCGAGAATGGTCTGGATCAACCGTGCTTGCGCTTCTTCCTCTTCAACACGCAGCTCGTCGAGGCTGATGATGGGCTCGTCAAACTGCTCCTGTGCAGCATCCACCAGCCGGGAAGCCCATTCGTTTCCGCCGTTGTGGCTCTTGAACGCCGTGAAGGCCTTCTCGTAGCTCTCGCGCACCAGATACTTGATGAAGAACGCGATGACGTCGAGGCGCCGGAACAGCTCCACCCACGTGCTTGGTTCACAATTGTTGACGTAGTGCGCAATGCACCCTTCAAGAAGGTTGCGGCTGCGGAACGACTGCACAATGAAGATGGCGTCCGTGGCATACAGGCTGCACTGCACCAGGTCGCCAAGCTTGAGACCGGCCGCGCGCCTCTCCTGAAGAGCCGCAGATTGACTGTTTCCTTTGGCACCTGCTCCATTGCCGCTCACGTTACCACCCTGCTTCATTCGTTGCAGCACAACTTCACACAGGTGGTTCAGGTTGTCGAGAATGGTCTTGGACTTGTGCGGCAGCAGTCGAGATGCCAGGTGCTTCATGTCCTCGGCAAAGGTGGGGTACCCGTCCAGCTTCTCGGCCAACGCCAGCAGATCAAAGTACGTGCCACGAAGCTTGTCCACGCCGGTCGCCTTGTCGCGGATCATCGCGTTAAAAGCATCATGGCAGAAGAACTGTGGTGTGCTCAGCAGCGTGCCATTGAGCACCATGTCCTTGCACTCAGGCATAAGGTCAAACGACCTTGACAGCGCCTCCATGGTCACGCCTCGCAAGCCTTCGCCAAAGCTCAGTTTGAACAGCCGTTGCCCAATCTTGTTCGCCCAGACGCGGAGCTCTTGGAAGCAGCCCAAATGTATGCAGATGCGCACAAAACCTGCAAGAAGTGACGCAAACTCCGCCTCTGAACGCTCATATGTAAAATCCACAGCCACAGTCTCATCTTCAACACGGGCACGCAATGCCGCTCGCTCCGTCATGTTCGAGTCATCGAGCCAGCCGCGGTTTTCGATGGTGATTTTGCAAAGGGTTGATGAAGCATAGTTGTGAATGAGGTGGACCAGGAATTGTTTCCGTTCATCAGTGCTTGTGCTGCTCCAGTCCTCAAAGGAGTCCACGCACACGAGGTTACCACCCACCAGGACGACCACCGCATCAAAAAGGACCTTAGCCGTGTCAAAGGCCTTGGCTGTGGTGTGTCGATGGCCAGACTCCTGCGGCTCCGTGAGCATGGTCAGCACTTCACTCACAGCGTCGGGAATGGAGGCGGCATGGGTGCTGAAGAACGTTCGCAGGGAGAATGCGAGGAGATCTGTCTTTGCTTTGGCCACGCACGCCTCAGCGAACACACGAAACGTGCCCATGTGCAGACCGCCGTCCTCGGTGAACGCCTCAACGATGGCAGCTTGGTCCTCCTGTGAGCGGATATCGAGGCATGGCAGCAACAAGCACAGTCGCTCCGCTGGTCTGCCTTGCAGTGTTGGTCCATCAAACACGTGCTTGAGAACACCGGCGTTCTGCGTCTCCAAGAGAGAGAGGTAGCGACTGACATCATGCTGCGCCCAATGCTTGCAGGCGTAGTACCGCAGGTGATCCACGTTGAAGAAATACACGAGCTCCTCGAAACAAGTGAGGGGCACGCTGCACACTTCCCCTTGAGGGCGTGACAGCCTCTCTTCCTCAGCTTGCATGGCCGCTGTGGTGTTTGCGTCAAACGGAGAGTGCTGGTGCTCCCCTGGCAGCTCAGCGGCGTGGTGAGCGCCAGCACCACAACCGACGCCATCATCTGGTTTGCCTTCTTGAGCTGCCGCGATCGTTGGCCCGGTGAAAGCTTGCTCGGAAGGCCCTGTTGAGCTGTCAAGGAGAACGCTGGGATGGTAGTCCAAAGCTGCGCAGAGCAAGCCCGGCCAAGCACCCGTTTTGTCATGCTGCTGCGCGAACCTCGCTTGCTTGCTGACATACGCCGTGAAGAGCGAGAAAAAAATGTGCTTGTGGGTTGCCTTGCTGTCGGGCATCGTATGCTCCTTCCAAGAGGTAAGCATGTTGGAGCTGGGGTCAATTGCATTCATGATCATACGGGTGTGCACGCTGTGGTGAAGATCTGTGAGGTGATTCAAGTACGACAGCGCCGCGGCGTCGTCGTTTACCTGCCTCACAGCTCGCATGAACAAGCGATGCATTGTCTCGAACGTCGCCTGCGCATTTGGGTTACACAGCCAGCGCAACCAAACGTCTCGATACTCTGGGTGCTGTGCCCTCGCTGTCCCGGGGAAAATGAGGTTCCATATTGCGGCCGCAAACTGGTGGTTTGCCTTGATTGAGGCTGGCAGAACTATGTCGTCATTGCCGTTCCATCTTTTGGCAGCGAATAGTGCCGCCCTCCATTGCTGTAAATGGGATCCGCCTTCGGGCGTGTCGGGTGCGTAAATGCGAAGTGTATCGCCGCTGCTGTTCTTGACGACCAGTTTGGCGCCTTCGTCGTGTACCGCAAGTTTGCTGAGTGGCTTTAAGACAAAAGCCTTCTCCTCTTGTTTGATGACATTCACGTGAAAGATGGCGTCAGGAGTCAGATACATCAGCCGGTGGTGAAGCCGGCCATGCTTCTGTTGCCATTGGGCCCAGGTGCCATCACGAGCATGCTCAACAGGTCGCTTTTTCATGAGAGGTGGGAGACAGCAGGAAAAGCTTGTATTTTTGCTTAAGCTTGTGGCAATGGTATGCCGTCTGAGTAAAGGAGGCAATATCGGCGCACTTTCTGAAACAGCCGGTAATCTACGTCGCAGAGCCTTATGTGTGTGTGTGTGCGAGTGAGTGCGTGTGAGTGGCTCGTTGATGCACGTTTCGGTGGTGAGGCATGAGTATGTGCAAATGGGACAAAGCAGGAGTTGAGTAGCAAGACGATATGATAATGATGGATGAAGATACTTCTAACAGTGCCCAGAGCAGCCAGGTATCAAGCAACGGATGAGGTCCATCGGTGTGAACAACCAACTGTTCACTTCTGGAGAGGTCACAAGCACACCGAGAACTTTTCGTCACGACATGGTTGCTCACCGGCGAGGTGGTTGAAGTCGTGTTCTTGGATGACGATGTCATATCACACAGTGTCTGGCTTCTCTGCTCCTGTGAGAGGCGAGCGTTTGGAGGCGAGGCGACAGCCAGTGAGGATGACGGCGCTTGCGAGGACGTGCCTTGCGTCCCGTGTGAAGTTGCAGTTTGACCATCCACGCCTTCCGAGATAGGAGGTGTGTGCGCGGGCGATTCTGGGCCAGAGCCATGGCCGGAGGTCTTGGATGAGGCCATGTGGCCGCTTGTGGGCACGCCAGACACTGAGCTGTTCTTCTCCACCAAAGCCGTGTCCTTTGTGAGGTCTGGGCATGAGGAGGAAATTACGGAAGCAGCATGGTGTGTCACTTGCGACTCTGGTTGTGGAAAGTTGAAGGCGTGGTCAGGTAAAGGAGACAAGACATCGTCAATGTCATTGTACACGCCTGCGGCGGGCAAATCCTGGAGGAGGAGGTGAGGGTTCAAGCGGAAGCAACAAGGGCAAGGGGCATGCATTGCAGAAATCACGGTTCTGTTAGCCTGGCTTGGGATTGCGACAAACAAGCACTGCAGGGAGGCACGAATGACCAGTCCCCACTGCTCCTTCAAGTTGCCCCACCTTTTGCACTGCACGTCATGCTCCATCCTCGCTCTCCTCACACTCACATAGCAGGACTAACCGTGAGGCTCTTCACAATCCCGTCGACGAGATCGGCTGGCACAATAATGTTGGGATCATTGTTGTCGGGCTGCCACATATGGTAGGAGATGGTATCTGGGAGGCGAAACCGTGCGGTAGTTGACTTGAGCTTGGCGCACATTTTGATGTAGAAGAATGGCTTCTTCTCGTCGATGATGAACCTCAACTCTTCTCTTGTGCCAAACGAGGCTGGTGTCTTCTTCCCATACGTTTTGGTCCCCATGATGACGGCCATCCTGCAGGTTGACAGGGCCTCCACGATGGTGCTTTCGATGTCTCTGCCTGGCGGGACCTCGCACAGGAAGGCTGTCACGCCTCGCTCAGAGAGAGCAGCCTGCAGCGCCTTTCCCGCGTTGATGGCTTCATTGAAGCGCAGTGAAATGAAGCAGTCGCAGGCCCTGGCGCTTGAGCTTGTCCTTCTTGCCATCGTTGTTTGCGCTTGAAGTCCCTGAGACGATGAGTGCAGGGACGCCTCGCCTTGGTGTGTCCTTCGTATTGAGTGAAAACCTTGATTGTTCGCTTTCCTTGCGTGGAGTTGCGGTTCTTGCCTGCTTGCCTGCTCAGTGGAGTTGACAGAAAATGAACAACTCTGGGTGGAAAAGCCAAGGCAGCAGACGAAGGTCGAGATTCAAGCCACCCACTGCACTGCCCGACACGGCAACCAATTCAGCAAGAGAGCAAGAGACAAAACAAGCCAGCAGCCAAGCGCAACATAGCAGTAGTCACAAAACAGCAAGCACACGAGCATGGCAAAACAACCAGCACAGTGGATAATTTTAAGCAGCACACGACACGACCACTGTATGGAGGAACATCCCTCACGCCATTTTTGGTGGGGGCTTCCAGAAAAAGTTGCCAGCACCAATCAGTTGAAATGGCGAAGGTTGTGGTAGGTTCGGGTGTGGGGCACTGTTGGCATTTGTGTCCCGGTCCTTCATCGTGGGGTGATCCAGCGTAAATGCAGGTATCAACGCGAGCTTGTTGTGCTGTGGGATGAAACTATGACCCTGGGCTTGTGTGGCATTGAACCTACCAGGTCACGACAACAAAGACACACAAACCTTTGCATGAGCAAGCTAATTTTGTTGCCGTGGACGCGATTGCTTCGGTTTGAGGAAGTGCGTCCATGTTGTTGTGTTGTGTGTGAGCGTGGAACCACGGCAACATGACACTTGCTTGCAGTCTGCAGTGTGTGCGACTTTCTGTGTTCTTGAGCGCGATGTTGGAGAACAAAGAACAAAAAAAAACCTTTGCATGATTTGACCAAGCTCACATGGTGTGTATGAAGGGACGAGATGACCTCGGTCTTGGACAGACATCTGTTTGTGTTGTGCTGCTTCGAATATGACACTGCACAACCACAGCAACAGTATGTAACGATAGTTGCAATGTAATGTAATACAAACCAACACATCAGCAGCAGCACAACAAGCGCGCGTTGAGATGCTGGTCGGCATCCACAACAGCATTGAGAGTCGGAGGGGGGACTCTGGCTGGGCATCGATCCACGAAGTGGGCTCTGTCATGGGAAAGGCCAGCGGCATCTCTGCTGCCTCACCTTGTATTTTGGTGTACAGTCACAGAGACATCTGACATGCAAGTACAAGCAAGGCAGAGTAAATTGATGTGACACAGCTTGTGCGTTGTTGGTCTCAACAAACGCACATACAGCACAGCGGTCATTTTCCGCCATCATCATCATCCAACACCCAAGCCATGCACAGGCAGCAAGGGCAACATCCGGCCTCCAAATCATCCTGAGAAGCAGCCTCAAGAGGCTTTCTCGCTGAACCATCTCCCTGACAAGCGTGTGCCTCTACTCTCCTCCGAAGCGATCCGAATCGCTTTCTGTGTCAGAAAACACAGCAGCCAAACACCAACATGCCGGAGCAGTTTGCGTTTTCGCGTGAGACGTCCTCAGTTGACGTGGCCTTGACTGGAAGGCCAACGCAAACAACAGGCTACTATTCCTGCTTTCTGCGATACAAATACCACTGCATCCGCGCAACGACGGGCGGCCCAAGGTTGCTTGGGGCAGCCCTTGGCAGCTGTGCCATCACGTTCCTCGATATCTGGTCCACTTTTCAGGCAAAGACAGCCATCTTCATGAAACTGATCTCCGTCGTTGGGGTAATTGTCGTGGCGTGCCTTGGCATGTACGGCACCATTCCCTTTGAGATTGCGTTCTACTGCTGCGCCGGTGTGGCTGGGTACCAGGTCCTGACCCTCTTCATCGACATCCCCCTCTACTTTGCTGTCGACGTTCCCCTGCAAATTGTCTGGGAACACGCTCTAGTGGCGCGCACAGACATAAACCTGGGAAGCGGCAACGACTTTCTGAGGGTGACTGCGAAGAACCGGACCCAGTATTTGGCAACTGATCTTGAAACGCATATCCTCGCTGCCGACTTGGTGGAACGGGCAGAGGTTACCATCATGCTGTACAGAGACTCGTGGTACAATCGAAACGGTGATATCAAGTACGTCCTGTCCTGGCTTGCTGTTGGCTCGAAGACGACCGCATATTTTTTTGTGTTTGCCTTCAAGAGCCTTCAAGAGTGTGGCATGATCACCAAAGTAGTTGTATCGCTTGCCTGTGTTTCAAGGGCGATTGATGTGCGTGGTGGGGATGACCATGTGAGTCCACTATTTGCTTGTTCGTTTCATGACTCTGCTGGGCTTGCATCGTCGCTCACACGTACGCACACGCACGCACGCACACACGCACGCACACACGCATCTCAATGTCCGTGCCGCTTGTCCGCTGGCTGAAAATGACAGCATTGGATTCCTTCACAAGCTGTCATTTTCATTTCTTCACTGCATCATCCCACTGGGCTCTCTGGCGATTATGTTCTTCCTCGACAGCGAGTATTACCTCCTGCCAATCGCAACACTTGTCGCTGCCTGTGTATGGGCGTTGCTTCTGGGTCCTCTGGTGTATGCAGCCCTGCTGGTTGTTGCATTGGTCGCAAACTGTGCGCTGTTGGGCATCCCGGGCTGGATCACGTCGTCCATCTACAAGGCATGGGAAAGGAGCATGGTTGCAAACGCCAATACGGCTCGTGAAGGACGCTACCTCAAGAATCTGTGACCAAGCTTGCCCGTCACTTGCATTTGGTGTTATGACGCATTGTTCTCTTCTTAACCTTGATGTACACGACATGCTGAGAGTAACAAGCCATCACGTTCTTTAGTACGATCACAAACACAGAGTGCAGCAGGACCAAAGATAGACACACACACACACACACACACACGCGCGCGCGCGCGCAGGCGATGGTTGCTGCACCAAAGACAACGGGGGAGGGGAAATGGAGAATAACGAATGAGCGCTGACATGAGCCAACACCAATACAGACAGAGAGCAGCACGAGCCAACTCGGAGATCCCACCATCACCCATCATCCATCATGCACCACACGTCACACTCACGTCACAGCAAATGGGCAATGGCGGCGATAGCTGCCTGTCGAGGCCCTGGTTCTGCGCGTTCTGTTGCATCCTCCTCCTCCCTCTCCTCCTCCTCCTCCCCCTCCTTTGCCACCAGCTCCGCCTTGTCTTCGGAGAAGAGCTCGAACCCGAAGGAGCGCGTGTACATCCGCACGGCGCGCGGAGTTGTGGTCTGCGTGGAGAGCACCGCTGCCTGCTGGCCGCGTTTGAGGGCCATGCGCAGGGCAGCGTGCACAATGGCGCGGCCCAGCCCCATCCCGCGAAACTGTGGGTGCACCGCTACCCACTCCAGGCGTGCCAGCCCGCTGCTCTCCTCCGTCACAATCTCGTAGCGCAGGTCCTTGAGCGGCCGCTGCGGCTGCGGAACTGAGGCCTGGCTCTCCGTAGCCGGCGGCTTTGGTGTGGACCCCTGCGATGGCTGCGACGGTACTGTCGCGGTGGTGGCTGCTGCGATTGGCGGTGCTGGGGATGTGAGGTAGCGCATCAAGCCTGGGCAGCGCTGTAACAGACCGCGACTTGGCAGCCAGTCTGTGGCAGTGGCGACGGCATGCATGCGGCGTTTTGCGTCACGGTGCACGACGAACAAGCAGCGTTCGCCAAAGAGACCGCAGCTGCTGCTGTCCCCATCGTTCTTGCGGTCATGGCTGCCTGTCTGTGCTGCCTCCTGTTCCTGTGCACCCGCCCTGCCGGCGTATGGGGCGAATGATGCAGCGAATCGCTCGCGCGCAGCATGCACTGAAGCAAACTCCCCTGCCTCTGTGAGCAGCTGACACCACGTGGATGCCATGTGTGCTGGTGATGTTTCGCGTGCAAGCGCGTTGGCGTCCACAATGGCATACCCAAAAGGCAGCGCTTCCTGCTGCTGCTGCTGCTGCTGCTGCTGTGGTTGCAACCTTTGCTGTTGTTGTTCATACAGGGCTGCTTGTGTGCTGCGGTGCATGCCCTCCTCGCCTTCTCGTTGCCCTCGCTCGCCATCACTCTCCTTCCTACCTGTGCCATCCCCTACGGCTGCCATAAGGTTGTTGCAGATGAGGATGAGCGGGGCGTACGGAATGGTGTCCGTGTCGCGGGCAGGAACATCCACCGCGTGCTCCAGCAGATCAAATTGTTTCGGCAGCACGGCTGTTGCGCCAGCCCAGGAAGACATGCTGCCTTGTTGCAGTTCAAGGCAGAAGAAATGCGGATCTAGGCTTGCATCTGGATAGTGCAGGTCAAAGTCTGCGACGGGCCTGAACCCGAACCGGCGGTAGTACTCTGAGCCGAGCACCAACACTGCTGCCACACCTTGGGCCCTCTGTTGCTCCAGCGCCCACTCTGTAAGTTTCGATCCAATGCCTTGTCTTTGGCAACTTGGCAGCACACTCAACGGCGCAAGTAGCGTCACGTTGGGCTGTGAATTTTGGTGTGTGTGTGTGTGTGTGTGTGTGTGTCAGTGTGTGTGTGCGTGAAAATGAGCGTGCATGAACGTGTGTGTGTGTGTGTGTGCGTGCGTGTCAGTGTGTGTGTGTGTGTGGACATGAGTGTGCGTGTGTGTACGTGTGTGTGGTCGTTGTGATCTCATGTTCTTGCTTGTGCAAAGCGTGATGCATGTGCCACGAAGCATATTGGCTGTACCTGACTGCGCATCGAAGCACCATGCTTTGGCCGTTGTAGTGTGACAGGAAGAAAGAGAATGTGGGCCACAATCTCGTCAGCACCACTGCTCTCACGGCTGCCGTCACAAACCCCGTCATCCTCGTTGCCGCTCTTCACCGCCACAGCAGAAAGGGACAAAGGCTTTGGATATGGTCGGCACGTGTCCACAAGACATGCCTCTGCTGGCGTTGGAAACGCAGACACCAGCACCTGCAACCAACGTGCATGTACATGTGTGTGCGTGTACGTGCGTGCGTGTGCGCGCGAGCGCGTGTGTGTGTACATGTGTGTACATGTGTGTGTGTGTGAACGAAAGTTGTTGTCGTCGTTGGGTGTGAATGTTAGTTTGCTCGCTCGCTTCACTCGTGTTGTTGGTGCCACAGGCGCAACAGCTCAAGTACAAGGCAGCAAGAGAACTTGTAGCAAGCCAAGGTCACACGTCACAACAGCGTGACGCGCGTGGTTCCCTATCATCAACGTCAGCCACCCACCACAACCACCAGTACCGCCGCCACGCTCACACACGTACGTGTCTGACTTGCGCGCGGTCTTCCACGCTGTCTTCATCCTCTTGCCGAAGAAACGTGAGCATTGGGTTGCGGTTGAAGTCATGAGTATTGACCCATATCTTCCAATGAATTTCTGCTTTGTTTGTATTTGAGGAGCAGCAGACACCACCCACCACACACACACACACACACACACACACACAGACACACACTCGCACACACACACACACACACACACACACACACACTAGCACACACACACACACACACACACAAGCACGCACACACACACACACTAGCACACACACACACACACACACACACACTAGCACACACACTAGCGCGCGCGCACACACACACACGAGGGCGCGCGCACGCTTCAGTGGCCAATTGCCGCTGGTGGTTTAGGTGGGGAGATTGGACGCTGGCCAGTGGGGCCCGTGCCTGGTGGAACGTCCGTGGTGGAGGCCCAGCCGCCAGGCCCTTTGCTGCCGTGTCCGCCGCCCTTGCCCACGCCAGTCTGCACACCGGGGATCTTCCATCCACCCGGACTCTTGCCGCCGTGGGCACCGCCTTTGAATCCACCGGCTTTGCCCTTTGCCTTGCCCCGGCCAGCCTTGTCTCCTCCGGGCTTGCTGCCCACGCCTCTTCCGCCTCCAGGCATCTTGCTGGCTGGCTTAAAGGCTGCTGAAAGGAGGATTGGACTTGGTCTTCTTGTTCGTGCTGTTTGTGGGCTGGATTCTGAACGCCGCCGAAGCCCCGTCCTTGTCTTCTTGTCTTGCCTTTTCCTTGTCCTTGGTGTGCTGTTGTGCCTTCTTGGTGGGTTCCCGCGCTCCTTTGCTTGCCTGCCTGCCTGCCTGCCTGCCTGCCTGCCTGGTGGCTCTTGTTCCCCCGCTTAGTTCCTCCGTGTGTCCGTTGCGTGTCAGCAAAGAAAATGAATAGATGTGAGCCAGTATCGTTGATGACAGCCAGAAACGGCGGCGTTGAGTCGATCAAGTAAGCGAGGCGCAGGGTGGGAGTGTTGTGGTTGTGAGTGTTAAATTACATGTTACTTCCACCCTATTACTTCTCCATTGTGTATTGCTTGAGTGATGTTGATGAAGTAATGCAAACGAAGCCTTGCAAGCAAAGCAACGCGAGTGAAGAAAGTTGTGCAAGGCGCCACCGTACCGTCATCCCGCTGTGCCACAGGGGGTGCGTTGTCTTGCCGCTGTTCCTTGAGTGATTGGGTTCGATTCCACCGCACGCAAATGCTTACAGACAGACTCACCCTGATGAGGTTGTGATGCGGTTTAAAGGTTTAAGCAACAGGCTGGTGTCTTGAGGCTGTTTACTGCTGCGGCACCGTTTGCAGGTTGCAAGAAGCAAAGGCAAGACACACACACACATGTAGGAAAGGGAGAAGGAAGAGGAATCAGAAAGGCGAAAGAAGCAGGAAGAAGGGGAAGCAATTCAGAGGGAACACGCAGGACCCGAGACCACGTGAACAAGCACACAAAGCTCAAATTCACACGCATCGGGTCGCAGAGTCGTCGAGTTGTTGGGAGAGCTGCTGCCGATCCGTCATTCGCCTTTGCCTCGATTCAGCCTCACTTGCTGCCGGGTGGCGCATTGTAGCGGCCGCCACCTGAAGGGTTGCCCGTGGTGGAAGGCCATCCGCCAGACGTCTTGCCGCCAGGTGGCGCGTTGGTGCGCCCGCCGCCCGAAGCGTTGCCCGTGGTTGACGGCCAGCCGCCTGGCCCCTTTCCACCACTGCCGCTGCCTTTGCCACCAGCATGGCCCTGGCTGCCACCGCCGTGGCTGCCACCTTTTCCTCCGCCACTACCGCCTTTTCCACCGCCGGGCATGTTGACTTGTCTGCGAAGCCGAAAGAACTTGTATCGGAAGGCGTATCTTCCTTCAGTTGGGCGTCTTGTGTGCTCGAGTACTTGGGACGTTGCTTGCTTGGACTGTCTGGCTGTCAATGAGAAGCAGGAAAATGAACATCACCGACTTGGAGCACCGACAACTTTCCAGCGCCACAACTGCCTGCCTTCCCAGCTTCTCAGCTTCCTTGCTCTTGCTGCAGAGTGACGGTGTGACGGTGTGGCGGAGTGACGGCGTGACGGTGTGACGGTGTGACTGTGTGTGATGGAGTGATGGAGTGATAAAGTGATGGGTTACACACGCCAACACACTGAAGCAACCAACCTGTCATGTGTACGTTGATGTATTGTTACTAATGCTGGTGGTCGCCATCACAGCCAGACAGCCAACCTTCGAAACACTGAGAAGCAGAAGCAAACACGAAGGCTGCCATGTCACACAAGATCACACAAGAAGCAACGAGCAAAGGAGCAACAAGCGAAGCAACCACAAAAGAGCGGACGCAGTTTCTGTTGTGTCAGCCCCACGAAAAGCGTCGAGTCAGCAGTTTCCTTTGTTGGAGATCATTTGTTGAAAACTTCAACCAATAATCTAGCTGTCCGCACTTTAACACCAACCGCTGGTGTGTTTGTGTGGTGTTGTGTGCATGTCAGTGCGTCTCCGTGTGTGTGTGTGTGTGTGTGTGTGTGTGTGTGTGTGTGTGTGTGTGTATTTTGTAAGTGTCTTTTTCTCCTCCTCTCCACACAACCAACCAAGCCAGTCAGTGTGAGTGTGAGACGCTCCGACCCTCCTCTGTTCTTCTGTTGTTGACAGACTTGTTGTTGTTTCGAGATCGATGGACCTGATGGACAGTCAGCTCCGCAACACGCACACACACACACACACACACATACTCAACCTGTCCTTCACCCTGCTGTTCTCGTTCTCTCGTGTTCATTTCCCTGTATTTCAACCACACACACACACACACACACACACACACACACACACACACACACACACACACACACACACACACACACACACACACACACACAGAGTAGCCATGTCAGCGTCTCCGCAGCAACAACAACGACCACGGCCACGCCTTCGAGCGCCACGACGCGCGGCAGCATCAGCCGCACGATCTTCTTCGTCATCCTCCACCTCCTCTCGCTCCTCAACGACATCGTCTCATGCATCCTCATCGTCCAGCCGGCGACGCCAGCAAAACCGCCACCGCGACCAGCGGCAGCAGCAACAGCAACAGCAAGACCCTGGTTTTGAGCGCTATCGAAGAGCTTTTGAGGGCATCGCCCACAGCAAGAAGAAGGCCAGCCCTTCCAAGAAGCGCGTCTTTCTGCTCGCTCTCGCTGACTTTCGCCGCTCCTCTGACAGCGAGCTTGTTAGGCTCCTGAATCTGTCCAAACCCCTCAACGATATCCTTCCCAGGGCTTCTGACGCCAATGATTTCACCCCCGATCGCTGGGTGAACGCGATCAACCGCCTGCTGGTCATCGAAGCGAAGGAGTTTGAGCGGCAACGCAACGCCGCCCTCCGTGCCATGGCCTCCGACTCCAGGGCGCTGAAGGCAGTGTTGTTCGAGATTGAGACCCCACACCCGGGCCAGTCGCACGCGGAGCACATCACCGCAATCGCCAAGCTGTTCCGCATCGTGTGCACGACCACTCAGGGCTTGCTTTCCCGATCCATCCTGTCGTCGATGCACAGGTTTCGGCAATCGCCTGCCGTTCGCAAGTGCCGGTCCAGCAACAGCGACGTTCAAGCCTTTCTGGCTCTCTTTGAGGGTACATCATTTCGAACACTGCCCATCGTCCCCAAGATTGAGGTCCTGCAACGATCGTTGGCCCCTGGCGAGCACCTCTTCCCGCTGGAAGGCAATGCCAACATGGAGCAGCTGCTCGAGCACCACTTCCGTCTTCTGCGCGAAGACAACATCGGCCTCCTGCGCAGCGGCAACAGCGACGACAGCGACGCGGTGTTCGGCCTGACGCAGTCCCGCTATCTTCCGGTTTACAACGTGCGCCCCTGCGAGTTTGACCTGCTGCTCAACGGCCGCGCCATCACCTTCACCTTTGAGCTTGGGCGCGACAGTGCGTACCACAAGCTCAACAATACCTCCCGCATCCGCTTCTGGCAGCGCGAGCGCGTGCTCATGGCAGACTGGCTTGTCGTGTTGCTTGAGAACGGCGTGCCGAAGCACCTTGCCCGCATCGACCGCATACGTGACATCGGCATGCTGATGAAAGGCAAGGTTCATCTCACCCTCCTCGATGACGCAGTGGCCGACGAGATTGTCAGGGACCTGGTCCACCACGAGTGCGGGAGCATTACCCACGTCCTCAAGAAGCAGCCCGCGCAGCAAGAACAGAACCGATCGTACACCTTGCTTCAGCTGTCCCCTTTGTTCGCATATGACAAGCCGCTGCGGCAGCTGCAGGAAATGAGCGACTTCCCCTTTGAGGAGGAAGTGCGCAAGAACACCAACTACAAGCTGAAGGAGCGAGACCTCATCAATGTTGGCCACCACAATGGCACGAGCACCACTGACGCCAGTTCCAGTGCCAGCAACACCGCACCCAGCAGCAACAACTCCCGTCATACCAACAGCCACGTTGATGACGTTGATGACGTTGATGATGGTGATGATGGTGATGATGGCGGCGGGTGGCAGCCGGCCCCAGCAAACAGGAAGCGGCAGGCACGGCGCCACCGCCGCACAGTCGTCGGCCCTCCAGAGTACATGAAGCGTGGGCAGCACGATGCACAGCTTGCCCAGTTCCTGCGCAGCCGCGATGGCGGTGCAGAGCTGAACGCCAGCCAGCGCGCCGCGATGGTCCACGTCATGCGCAACCGCCTGGCGCTGATCCAGGGCCCACCAGGCACAGGCAAGACGCACATTGGCGTGGTCATCACACGCTTCCTTGTGCAGGTGCTCAAGCTCAAGGTGCTCGTCGTCTGCTTCACCAACCACGCGCTGGACCAGTTCCTCTCCGAGCTCCTCGGTGATGAGATCGGCGACGACGATGGTGACGATGGGGACGGCGGTGACGGCAGTGACGGCGCTGACAGTGATACAAGCGGCAGCAGCGACCAGCAAGGCACAGCTGGGCGTCGTCGGGAGGCAACGCGCCACAAGCAGCTCGCCGTTACCAAGAAGATCGTGCGCCTGGGCAGCAGATGCAGGCACCCTCGTCTTGAGCAGTATCAGCTGCGCAACTTGCGCGAGGGCAGTGACTCACACGCCCTCAAGCCTGCTCAGCGGAAGGAGGAGGGTAGGCTGCGGAAACAGAAGACACGCTTGCGCAACCACATCTGCGCCCTGCGCCGCGCCATTTGCTTTGAGCGGCACAGCGAGGCAGCTGCTCAGTGCTATCTTGGCTACAGGGGCAGCCCGGAAGAGCGTGCTGCCTTTGGATTCCCGCCTCTCCGGTCAAACAGCAGCAGCGACCCAGGCACCCAGCACAAGCACAAGCACAAGCACAAACCAGCAACCAAGGCCAAGTCTGCAAGTGCAAACAGCAACAGCAACAGCAACAGCAACAGCAACAGCAACAGCAACAGCAACAGCAACAGCAACAGCAACAGCAACAGCAACAGCAACAGCAACAAGGCCGAGTCATTGTGGGGGCTGTGGTGCACAGGAGCCCCGCCACCACAGGGCTTGGCCAACAACAAGTTGTGGAAGTACCCGCTGGATACACGCAAGCTGACCGCCCTCAATTGGAATGAGCGCATCCCGGAGCTCGTCGTCGACCTTCGCAGGGCTATTGCTGATGCTGACGAGCAACTGGGCAAGCTGCGGGCCGCCAAGGACCGCACCATCTTGGCGGATGCAGACATCATTGGCTGCACAACGACTGGTGCTGCCGGCCACGCCGACGTGCTCAAGGGCCTGGACATCCCCGTGTACATGGCGGAGGAAGCCGGCGAAATCCTGGAGGCGCACGTGCTTGCGTCCGTGCCCACAAAGTGCCAGCACGCCATCCTCATCGGCGACCACAAGCAGCTGCGCCCAAAGGTCAACCGCTACAAGTTCGAGCGGGAGAGTGGCGAGGGCTTCAACCTCAACGTGTCGCTGTTCGAGCGCCTTGTGCCTGTCCTCGGCTTTGCCTCCCTGCACGAGCAGCACCGCATGCGCCCCGCCATCAGCCGCCTCGTGCGCGAGATGACCTATCCTGACCTGCAGGACCACAAGCAGACGAAGAAGCGCAAAGACATCGTCGGCCTGCGGCACAACGTCGTCTTCCTCAACCACGACGAGAAGGAGGGCTTCAGAGACAGCACCACGCGCTCCCGCCACAACCTGGGGGAGGCGCGCATCGTATTTCAGGTGGTGCAGCACTTGCTCCTGCAAGGCTACAAGAGCAGCGACATTGTTGTGCTCACCCCATATGGCGGCCAGGCGCGCCTGTTGGACGGCATGCTGCGCAGCATCACCACGGAGGCCAAGCAGCACCTCCACCTCGAGTGCATGGCGTGCAGGGCAGACTCACACGAGCTTGCCAGCCACCTGCACAGCCACAAGCAGGACCGGTGGCGTCGGCGGTTTGAGGACCCGCAACAGGCCTGGCGCCGGCGTGACTTCTCCCTCGGCGACGGCCATGACGATGACGACGACGGCGACAACCGCAACAACAACTCCACCAGCAGCCGCGACGGCACGTCGGGTGGTATCCATGGCACTAGGCATGCAACAACAGCGACGCCATCATCAGCGAGCGTCGGTCGTGAGCTTAGTGCTGATGGCGGCGCCACCAACAGCAACGACAACGGTGCTGACGGCGACGGTGATGAGGATGGTGAAGACAAGCGCGAAAAGGCCGTGATCAAACGCAATGTGGCGCTGCTGCAGGCGGCGCGCCGCGAGTTCCCCATCAAGGTCGTGACGGTCGACAATTTCCAGGGCGAGGAGGCAAAGATTGTGGTGATTTCCCTCGTGCGCAGCAACAACAAGGGCAGCATCGGCTTCTTGCGTGAGCCCGAGCGCGTGAACGTGATGCTGTCTCGTGCGCGTGATGGCATGATCGTCGTGGGCAACAAGTCTACGTTTGACCGCTGCAACGTCAAGAAAGGCCGCTGGCTCTGGAAGAAGTTCTTTGGCACCCTGCCTGAGGAGGCTGTCTGTGCTGGCCTTCCCATTGTGTGTCCGCAACATGAACACCACGGCCCGTGCGAGCTGGAGACACCGCTGCTGTCTGAGAGAACAATTGAGCCGCACAACCACGGTGGCTGCTCGCAGGAGTGCCCGCGCCCGCTGCCCTGTGGTCACGCATGCAAGCTGCGCTGCCACGATCAAAAGCAGCACAAACGCATGCTGTGCTGTGAGCCCGTGTTCCTCGAGTGTGACGAGTGCGAGGGCGTTTACCAGACGCACTGCCACATGAACGAGCCGCCACAGGCAGCGCACGATCGCGGTGGCGACACAGAGGGCGATGGTGACACGGGAAAGCGCTTTCACGACCCCGTGTGTACCGTGTGTGCGGCGAAACTTCACCTGGAGCACTTGGACAGCAACGCCATTGGTGCTTGCGAGTCCACACTCGAGGATCTCAAGAGTCAGCTGCAGGAACGGCGGACCAGTGACACGGGCATGAGCCTGCCTGCGACCGTGCGAGGGAGCACCGCCTCTAGCTCCTCAGCGAGGAGTGCACCCTCTTCCTCCTCGACAGCGTCGTCGTCGGTGTCATCATCGTCATCTTTGCTCACTGCATCAACTTCAAGCGCCGAATCGCCGTCGGCACTGCCTCAAGCAGGCACGACTACCAGCGTGACGTGCTCTGGCACCCACCTGTGCATGCAGGAAGCACACGTGCGCGTGACGCAGGCGCAGCTGGCGGTGGTGCGCGCAAAGGCCGATGCATTCACCTGCGACCAGGTCGTGGACGATTTGACGAACACGCTTGCTGCCATGCTTGAGCGCCATCTACAGCTCCAGAAAGAACGCATTGACTTGGAGGCTCATCTGTACGGGCACAACACCTTCGAGCAGGAAGAAGAATACGAAGACGAAGAAGAATACGAAGGCGAAGATGGGAACTACTCTGCTGGGTCGTATGACACGGGCGCAAACGACAGCAGCGATGACGATGATGAGGACGAAGAAGAAGATGATGATGAGGACGAAGAAGAAGAGGAAGAGGAGGAAGATGATGAGGAAGAGGAGGAGGCAGAGGTGTGTGACGATGGCCACCAAGAGCTATTGAACATGGTGCAGAGGGATGGTGCAGTGTCGACCGATGACGACGATGAGGACGTGCTTGATGAGGATGATGACGACGACGAAGATGATGAGGATGATGAACAGGATGAGAACGAGGATGGTGCCGGCACTGATGACAACTACGATGACAACGGCATTGATGCCGATGATGTTGATAGCTACGATGGCGTCGTTGAAGGTGCTGAGGACAGGCTGCATGAAAGCATTAGCGATGGAGAGAGTGATGACAACGGCTACGAGGCAGATTTCGTCGACGATGACGATGACAGGAGCGATGACGACGAGGATTACTCTCCATCTCAATATGACCAAGGGGATGAGGAACACGCCGCTGCCGCTGCTAGCAACGCTGAAAGCGGTGGTGACGACGATGATGATGGTGATGACGACATGAGGCCAACAGACGAGGACTTGCAGACCATCATCGACCGCTTGCACGAGGACAAGCAAGATATTGAAATGCAAATTCCACAGGCTGAAGACCAACTGCAGAAGTGGCAACAGCAGCAAAAGCAGGCGCACGAGAAGCTGGCACGGGCACGCAGGTCCCTGCGAAGTGCACTGTTTGCGCTGGTTGATCTTCTGCGCGATGGCGCCTCCGCACTGACACCGCCCGGCACAAGCGGCATGACCCCAAAGGAGTTGGTGGATGTAGCTAACGGCCGCGTGGGTGATGGCGAGCCGGCAGAAGTTAATGCAAGCAACGGCAAGCGAGAAGGAGCAGTACATGACAACAACAGCACGAATTCGGCCGGTAGTGGTGACCAGGACAAGAAGAAGAAGGACAAGAAGGAGAACAAGAAGAACGAGGAGAACGATAACAGCAAGGGCAAGGAGGTGAACGGGGCCGAGACGCAAGCAGGCAAGCTCTGCAGCGACCTCACGATCGCAGCCATTCTGGAGTATGCCGGTCACATGTTTAGCTTGCCCTTCCCAACAAAGTGGAACAGTCTCATTGTTGGTTGCGATGGCAATGGGCGGGACTCCGCCAGCACCCGCACCGAAGACCCTGAGCAGAGCGCCGGCAAGAAGAAGAGCAAGAAGAAGAAGAAGAAGAAGAAGAAGAGGAAGAAGAAGAAGAGCAAGAGCAATAGCAAGAGCAAGGACACCACGAAGCAGTTGGCCAGCAACTCCGACACCAGTAAGGCCAACAACAACGGCGCCGGGGCGAGTGAGCAGCCTCCACATGAGAGTGCGGCTGGGCCAGACCTGTCGCCATCCATGAGCACGTGCCCGGGTGTTCTCGATGGCGGCGGCGCAGTGGCACTTGCTCACGACAAGGTGTGGCAGGCCATTGTCGGCCACAACTTGTTTGAGGAAGGGCTCGTTGAGCGCACGAGGCAGCGGAGGATTGTACTGCACCAGCTGTTTCAGCGCTTCACGCCCTTGTGGCGACAGGAGGAGGATGCCATCCGAAAGCTGCGGAAAAACGGCGTCCGCGCAAGCAAGATGTCGCAGGAGGAACTGAAAAAGCTGTTGCACTCTGGTCGCTTCCGTTCAGGCTCTGACGCGTACAAGTCGGTGAAGCAAGTGCTGAACGCGCGCACTGCGATGGGTGAGCTGGTGATGGCACAGAAACCCATCTTGGACAAGGTTGGAGTCAAGAAGGATACGTGGACAAAGGATGACGCCGAAGCGGAGTTGAAGGAGGTGCAAGACATCCTCAAGCAGCGCCAGGAGCAGGGGCACCACAGGCGGCTGGCCCGACTGGCCCTAATGCGCGTGCTGCACGTGCAGATGCTCCTGGAGATGCGACTGTCGCAAATGACACCGGCAGTCGCGGCGAGCGAGCGACAACTGCTGAGGAAGCGCGTGCCTGAACTGCTGTTTGACTCTGACAGCAGCAATGGCACCGTCAGCGGAAGCAGCGCAAACAACAACGACAACAACAACAACAACGACGACGACAGCAGCCGCAGCCGCCGTGACGGTGGGGGCCTCCATTGCGCGCGGGTTGCCGTACGCCTGCTCCTGCGGTGCGGCCCCTTGCGGCTTACCGAGACCACAATGAGCGCCGAAACCGCAGTGAAGAGCCTGTATCGCATCATCTACACCGCCAGCCCGTGCCTTGGCAAGGATGACCTGCACAACCTGGACGTGCCCGAAGGCATGTTCCGCGCCAGCAGTGCTGCAGCGGCGGAGGCAAGGAAGGCCTGGCTCGGCGCCATTCCCGCAGCCATGCAGACGGCCACTGCTCGTGATGGCCCGAACAAGGTGTGGGGCAGCGTTGCAGAGCTCAACGAGGAGCGGCAAGCGTTTGTCAAGACGTTTGAAGCGCGAGCGAGAGGGCGTGAAGGTGCTGGCAGCGGCAGCGGCGACAAGAAGGATGCAGCCCTCAAGTATGCGTTGGACGACGAAGACGGTGACTACTCCGACTACCCGGACATTGACCCGCTGGAGGAGCTCGCTCTTGACGATTACGAGGAGGATGAGACTGATGACAGCAACATTGGCGCTGGCGAGGATGACTGGGCAGTTACTTCTTCGTATGCGCGTGTGGGTGGGGCGTTTGGCAGCATGGGCGCATTTGAAGCGACGAGCGGTGTTCGCAGCCTTGATCACCACAGCGATGATGATTACGATGATGACGGTGATGATGATGATGATGATGATGATGACATGGAGGACGACGCTGAATTTGCTCTTGCTTTTTCAAAGCAGCAGTAGTGAAGAGACGAAGGAGCCCTGGAGGCGGGATGGAGAGGGGATGTTGGGTTGTTTCCTGGTTGAGGATGGGTCTGCATGGACTTACGCACGCGCGCGTGCGCGTTTGCAGTTGGCAGAGTGTTGGCGTTCTGAAAGCGTGCATGGTGGATGGCCTCTTATGCGTCATATGCTGTACGTGAGTGAGTGGGTGTGTGTAGGTGTCTAGGTGTGTGTGTGTGTGTGTGTGTGTGTTGTTTTCTTCTTTCCTTGCGTTTCAGTTCTTTGCGTGTCCTTCTTTCTGTCATCTTTGCGTGTCCTTCTTTCTGTTGGGTCTCGGGCCTGTTGCGTGATGACGAGGATGAGATGTACTGCTGTTGCTTCTTTGCTGCTGTGTTTGAGTGCGGGAAATGCAGAGGGGGGTTGTGTTGATTGCAGGTGTGTGTGCGTTGCATTGCCTTGTGTAGTTGTGTGTTGGTTTTGGCGTGCTTGCGTTGTGTTGTTGGTGTTGTCACGCACATCATTCCTAACGTCGAGCTGTTTCATTGAACAAGAGTTGGTGATTGGCATGGTTTGACAACGTGAAGCCAAGGGGAAGAGAGCGAAAGAGTGAACGGAGTGGACGCGAGGCGAACACGGGAAGCTGAGAAGGGGTGGAAGGGCGGAGGGGAAGGGGAAGGACTGAAGGAGAAGCACATCCGGCCAACCGGACAAGCAGACATCCAAACAACAAGCAAAGAAGTGGGTCGCGACACCACAAAAACCACATGCGACAAGCTGGAAGCAGCGACGACGATGGAGCACCAGCGCTTGGTGTTTGAGGGCTGGGCATGGAAGCAAGGGAAGGTGAACAAGGCCTTCCGACACCGCTTCTTCAAGGTTCGATGTGTGTGTGTGTGTGTGTGTATCGCAGGAGAACAAGGGGCCGAGGAATGAATCCCAAGGCGATAGACTACAGTGAAGACAGTGTTGTTGCAGCAAGCACAGCAAGGCAGAGACAACCCAGACACACACACACACACACACACACACGCACACACACACACACGCACACACACACATACACACACACACACACATCCTCTGCTCCTCTTCCATGCTTGACAGCTGCACAAGGATGGACATGTTGCGTACTTTGCGGGACCAGATGCAATCAAGCCAAAAGGCGTCTTCCAGCTCACACACGAGAGCACGGTGCTTTCGCCAGAGGACCTACTGTCACCTGAGGACGCGGAGGAGCCAGGCTCAGAGCACACACCCCACACACAGGACAGCAGCGCAAGTGGCAACGCTCATGACGCCGCTGACAACGAGACCGCCAATCCCTCAGACACAGCAACAGCAGTGACGGCAACAGCAGCGCCACATGACGGGCTTGGACGGAGCAGCAGTGGCAAGCAACGCGTGCACCGCACGCTGAGTGGCGGCACCGTCACTTGGCCAAAGAACTCGCAGGCAGACGCCCGCATCGGCATCGTCACTGCCAAGCGCGTCTTCTATTTGCAGCTGGACACGGTCGGACGGCGCACTGACTTTCAGACGCATTTCCAGACAGTGATTGACGGCTTGCAGCCCGTGCCCACCGCGAACCTCACTGTCAAGGGCAAGGATGAGGAAGAGGCCGGCGGTGCGCACATGCGCCACGATGTCAAGCATCAGCAGCACGGTGACATTGAAGACCAGCACGAGTACATTGACGAGACAGCGGATGTGGACCATGAGGAGACGTCCGATGAGCGCAACGAGTTCTTCCAGCGGCCCTATCACAAGGCATGGCATGTGTGCGTGTGTGTGTGTGTGTGCGTGTGTGTGTGTGTGTGTGTGTGTGTGTGTGTGTGTGTGTGTGTGTGTGTGTGTGTGTGTGTGTGTGTGTGTGTGTGTGTGTGTGTGAACGGGGAGTGCGCAAGCTTCAAGCAGTGGGTGCTCGCATTCGTACGTGCGCGCGCATGCGGCATTTGCGATCACGTGTCGATGTAACACCATTCCTGGGTTGTTGAACACAGGTTGTGATTGTAGGTGCCGGGTTGGCTGGCATTGCTGCTGCCACACATCTCCGCGAAGCGCACGGCATTGCAGATGTCCTCGTCCTGGGTGAGACACAGACACAGAGAGTGTGTGTGTGTGCGAGAGAGAGAGAGAGAGAGAGAGAGAGAGAGAGAGAGAGAGAGAGAGAGAGAGAGAGAGAGTGTGTGTGTGTGTGTGTGTGTGTGTGTGTGAGTGAGTGAGTGAGTGAGTGAGTGAGAGTGAGTGAGAGTGAGTGAGAGTGAGTGAGAGTGAGAATGAGTGAATATGGGGTCGTGTGTATGTGTGTGTGCATGTGTGAGCATGTGCATGTGTGCAAGTTTGCGTACGTGCGTGCACTGTCTGTTCATGAAGCTACAGCTGTGGTGTCCTTAGCCACCTTTGCACTGCCATCACCCTCCTGCGTTGTGCTCATATCTGCGTGAATGTGCGCATCATCGTATGCAGAGGCGACTCCACGGCCGGGCGGACGTGTGCGGGCGATGCAGTTGCCAACACTCTCAAAGGTCTACCTCGACGCAGGCGGCTGCGAGTACGTACACACACACACACGCACACGCACGCACACCTACATGTACACCTACATGCACACACACACACACACACTCTCTCTCTCACATGCTGGCAACGCTGTAGCTGTGAGTGAGTGAGTGAATGAGCTAGTGAGTGAACGTATTGGATACACGGAGCAAGAATCGCGTCGCAAGCTCATTGCATGGCAACGCCCTGTGCTTGTTTCGTTGCAGGCTGTACGGTACACACGACAACGATCTCGTGTCCATGGCACGGGAGGTGGCGTGCGACGTGTTTGAGCTGGCAGACCCTGCACGAAAGGTACCACCCATTGCACAAACGGATGGTGCTGCTGTTGTTGACAGCACCGAAGGACATGAACACAATCCCCTGCAGGCACACACACATGCACACATGCACACATGAGCACATGCACACATGAGCACATGCACACATGAGCACATGCACACGTGAGCACATGAGCACATGAGCACATGCACACATGCACACGATCGCTGATCATTGCTGTCTGCACATGTGCATGTCTTGCGGCTTGACACGTAACAGGAGCTGGACGTGGGCATTTCGCGGGCAGGAGAGGTGGTGGGCGAGGACGAGATTGAGGACGCCATGGACGTCTACACAGAACTCATGGAGCAGGTGACCTGGCATTACGGCATATGCCAAGGCACTTGAGCACCCTCACACACACACACATTTTGGCTACTATGCGCGTTGTCCCCTTCAATCCTGCGCTCACCGTCACAACCGCAATCCCTTCCACCGTTTGGCAGATTCGAGACGATATTGAGGACATTCACACGGCGCATGAGGACCGCGGATCCGCGCTTCCGAAGGACAGGAGCGTTGCGTCACGTCTTGCACGCGCTATTCGCACCACTGACGACTGTCGCGAGGTTTGGCAGCAACGGAGCGTTGAGGGAGACAGAGATGCGACATCTCTGCTGCGTGCATGTCGTCTGCGACGTGGTCGTTTGTGCGTCTGCTCAGCCATGTTGATCTGATCAAACGTGCTGTCGCTGCGTGCGTTGTTTATCCCCTCCTTCCTAAGCCCCAACACACACACACACATGACCCACCATGGCAGTTGAGTGCGAGGGCGCGGCAGCTGCTCGGGTATTTCCGCACACGCGAGGAAGCGCAGCACGTCGCCGCCTTCTCAGCCCTGAGTCGCAACTGGTTCCTCGAACGCATTCCACTCCCAGGTGTTCATGATGATGATGATGATGATGATGGTGATGGTGATGATGATGATGATGATGATGATGATGATGATGATGATGAAGTGGCGTGTGAACTTGCATTGTCGCGTTCATGCATGATGGTTGGCGTTCTTCTTGTCCACGCTGGTCAAGGTGTCCTGACATGCACATTCACGTTGCTTTTAGTTGCTCACAACGACAAACGACGATGTAACACAACCCCGATGCTGTGTGCAAATTGTTGTGTCGTCACCAGGTCGGCCGCTGCTCGTTCGTGATCTTGCGCACGTCGTCCACGATCTCGCCAAGCGCGCACACGTCAAATACAACCAGCCGGTCGGTCCTCCCTGATTGCTTGTGGGCGGGGTTGCATACACTTGTTGTGTGCCCGCGTTTGTGCATGTTTGTGTGTGCCTGCGTGTGTGTGTATGTTTGTGTGAGAGTTTTCGTTTGTGTGTATGTGTGTGGTCGCGCGTTTTGCAGGATGTTTCGTTCACAGACAATATTGCGTTTTGCGGGTTCAGGTCACACATATTGCGGAAGAGGACAACACAATTGAAGTCAACGGAAAAGGTAGCAGCCACAGTCGTCCTCATTGTCGCCTGCAATGGCCATGACACCCTTGCATCAAAGCAAACACTACCAACTGCCACCTCTGCTTCTTGACCGCCTCACCACCTCTCCATCTCTGCCTTCTCCGTATCCATGACCTTCCCCTCCCACTTCGCACCACTCTTCATCTCCACCCACCAGATGTAACGGCACACATGAAGGTGCGGAACCGCCACGGCCGCGACGTCTTGTGCGATTTCGTTCTCGTCACCGTCCCCGTCAGGTCTGTACCATGGGCGCGCTCGCGCGCGCGTGTGTGTGCGTTGGATTGTGTGTTTTGTCTGTCAGTGTGTGTGTGTGTGTGTGTATGTGTGTGTGTGTGTGCGTGCGTGTGTGTGTGTGTGTGTGTGCGTGCGTGTGTGTGCATGTGTCAGTGCGTGTGCGGGTGTGTGTGCTGTTCGTTTTGCCATGCCTTCGCACGTGCTATTGCAACCATCCTTGCTATTTCTTCTCACCACACACACACACACACACACACACACACACACACACACACACACACACACACACACACACACACACACACCACACAGGAAGCGCTCAGCGACGAGGACGTGGCGCCGCTGCTGACGGAAGAGCTGAAGCGCATGTTTCCCAACGGATCAGAGGAGGACGTCACGGTAATTCAATGCGTCGCTGTTGTCGTGGCGGTGATATTAAGCAGTGGTGGTGGTTGTGATGTTGCTGATGGTGGTGATTGTCAGACTGGTGATTGCTTTCCGTCCGTTGAGCAACGACCTTTGACATCAACATGGCCCACCTGCACACTCTCTCATCGACATTGCACTGCGACTGTCGAATGCATCATTCACTGCGACTGCAGCCGCTGTGCTGCCGCATGACGCGCTGGTCGCGCCATCCGCACATCCACGGCGCCGCCTCCTTCATCAAAGTCAACGGCTCAGGGTGCGATATTCGGTGATGATGGCTTAGGTGGTGGTGGTGCCGTTGTTGTTGCTGCTGCTGCTGCTGCTGCTGCTGTTGCTGCTGTTGATGGTAGTGTTTCTGCTACTTTTTCGTTGTTTGCCGCCAATGGCCATGTTCTGTGGCATTGTGCTTCTTGGGCTGCGTTAAAGGTGTCTTGGGATGCTTGCGTCCATCTCACCACACACCACGTGCCACATGCCACACACCGCACATCACTGCCCATGTTTCTGTTGCTCGCACGTTCGATCTCGCAGTGAAGACATGGACGCGTACGCAGCGCCAGTGGAGAGCACGACTGGGTATGTTGCTTGGCATTGAAGCTGGGCGTGCACGCACAGCATGTGATTTCCTCGTTCTCAATTGCATGCAAACGTAGCTCACACACACACACACACACTGACACCCCCCCCCCCACACACACCCACACACGCACTGACACACACACACACACCCACACACACACACACACACACACACGCACTGACACACACACACACACACACACACACACACACACACACACACTCAAGGGCCAACCCGCGGCTGTTCTTCGCCGGGGAGGGCACGGAGCGAAGCCACCACGGCACGCTGCACGGCGCTGTGATCTCGGCCAAGAAGCAGGTGGACCGGATGGCGGCGAGCATGCTGCACCGGAGCATCAACACAACAAAGGCGGTGGCGAAGAAGGCGTCTCTCGTCACCATTTCCGTCAACGGCTCCTCGTCGCAATCGGAGATTTAAGCAACAGCAACCACCTTTGAGTGGAGGGAGAGTTGTAAGGGTACACACACACACACACACTCACACACATGTATTGCAGTGGGTGGTTGTATTTGGTTATTAAGACATGGCGTGGTGTGCTGTGTGGTGCTTTCCACCACTGGTGCATTTGTTCCCGTTTTCATTGTGTCTTCCACGTACGCAAACGATACAGTCAGTGCACAAGAAACACGCGAGCAAGAGAAACCAACGCAAGCCGACAACTAACACGAGAGCAAAGAGCAGGAGAAAGCACAAGCGAGAGCAATGCAAGGGGACAAAAACAGCGCAATCAGCAGCACTATCACCCACTCCCTGCCGCGACAAGGGCTGCGGGGAATGAAACGAGCATTTGCCGCGTGCGCACACACAGTCACACACGAAACGATGATGGCATCACGACACGCATGTCACTTGCACAGCGCACGCGAGCGTGCGGGTTTGCGTGCGCGTGTGCACGTTGGCACGGCTGCACTGCCTTTCGTTGCACTTTACCGAGCGCGCTTAGTAGTCGCCGCCTGGGAGCGGGAACTGGCGGGCAAAGGCGGCCACGTCCTTGTGCAGCTGCTCAATCTCGGCATTGCCCTCGAGCGCAGGGATGAACGTCTTCAGCGGCTTTCCGTGCTGGTGGAGGGAAAAGGTTGTGTGTGTGTATTGGTGGGAGGGGAAGAGAAGAAAATGATTCATGTGAGTGGGAAACAACACAAAACAGAACAGAAAATCATTGATACACACACGCACATACACACACACACACAGACACAGACAGACACAGACACACACACACAGACACAGACAGACACAGACACACACACAGACACAGACGCACACACACACACACACACACCCACGCACACCCACCCACACACACACACACACAATAAAACACACGCAAGCACACACACACACACACACACACACACACGCACACACCACCACCACACACACACACACACACACACACACGCACGCACACACACACACACACACAGACACGCGTGCGCGCCTGCTGTCACTCACCCTATCCCAAAACAACACCACCATGCATCGACCACACCCCCTCCCCCTCCCCCCAACCACCGACCTCGTTCTGGACGTCGATGGCGATCTTGAGTGCGCGGTTGAGGAACTCAGCCACCTGCCGGAAGTGCTCCTCCTTGAATCCGCGCGTCGTCAGTGCCGGCGTGCCAATGCGCACTGCACCCGGGGCAAGCGCGCTGCGGTCGCCCAGGATAGCGTTCTTGTTGAGCGTGATCTCCGCCTTGTCGCACACCTTCTCCATCTTGGAGCCCGTGATGCCGTGCGGGCGCAGGTCCCAGAGGATGAGGTGGTTGTCGCTGCCGCCCGTGGCCAGCACGTGACCCATCCCCGTCAGCGCATCGGCCAGTGCGCGCGTGTTCTTCTTCACCTGCTGGATGTACTGCTTGAACTCGGGGGTCATCACCTCCTTGAGCTGCGTCGCCACGCCGGCAATCTGGTGCTCGTGGGGGCCGCCCTGCAGCATGGGGAACACCGCAAAGTTGATCTTCGCCTCCAGCTCCTTCTTGAAGAAGATGATGCCTGCGCGCGGGCCGCGAAGCGACTTGTGGGTGGTGCTGGTGACCACATCGCAGTACTCAAAGGGGTCGTTTGCCTCCTGCGCAGCAACCAGCCCGCTGATGTGCGCCATGTCGCACATCAGGTAGGCGCCGCACGTGTCGGCAATCTCCCGGAACCGCTTGTAGTCCCAGTCACGCGGGTACGCACTGCATGCATGCATGGGTGTTTGGATGGAGGGGTGTGGGTGTATGGATGTCGGCGAGAAAACAAGGTTTGGAAGGCGCACGCGTGGCAGAATCCCACGAACAGCACATTCAAAGCTTGCACGTGGCACGCGTGGTGGCGGACGCACCTGCCACCGCAGATGATGAGCTTTGGCTTGAAGACGTCGACGCGCTTCTGCAGCTCGACGTAGTCGATGAGGCCTGTCTCAGCAGACACGCAGTAGGGCAGGCTCTCGAAGAACACAGAGGTGGCAGAGATCTTCTTCGTCGTCCCATCACGCGCGTTGTACGAGTAGTACCTGTGTGTGTGTGTGTGTGTGTGTGTGAGTGTGTATGTGTGTGTGTATGTGTGTATGTGTGCGTGCGTGCGTGCGTGCGTGTGTGTGTGCGTGCTTGTGCGTGTGTGTGGAAAACACAGTGCTGACAAACGAGACCGCACACACGCAAGCACACGCAATGAGGGCGTGCTGATGGAGCACCCCATCCATACCCGTGCGTGAGATGGCCGCCAGACGGGAGATCGAGGCCCATGATGCGGTCATGCGGGTTGAGCAGCGCTGGCAATGCGAAAGGGAGCGTAGCAGTGGGCAGATGCACCAATGGTTGAGTGAAGGTGGGGTGTGTCAAACACAAGAAAGTCCACACTTGTGGGCATTGACACGCACTCGCCCATGGATACATCGACAGTCAGACACGGACACAGACACACACGCGACACGAGCACGAAAGAATACCCGTGTAGACGGCGAGGTTGGCCGGGCTGCCGCTGTAGGGCTGGACGTTGACGCCCCACTGCTCCGGGCTAAGACGGAACGCCTGAAGCGCGCGGTCGCGGCACAGGTTCTCAATCTGGACAGCAGCCACAGTCGCAGTTTTCAGTCACATGGTGTGTATGGGAGCAGGGCTCACAGTGAGGCTTGACAAGGCAGAGAATAAATCAAACCAGAGGGAAGAACAACGCCCACTTCCCTCTCTTCTACACATACAACAAAGAATAACACCCACCTTCCCTTCACCATACACTCAAACGCACACACGCACACTCAAACGCACACACACACACACACACACACACACACACACACACACACACACACACACACACACACGCACACACACACACACACACACACACACACACACACACAAACCTTGTCGATGAACTGCTGGCCACCGTAGTAGCGGGCACCAGGGAGGCCCTCGGAGTACTTGTTGGTGAGGCACGAGCCAAGGCAGTCGTTGACGGCGCGGGACGTGAAGTTCTCCGAAGCAATGAGCTCGAGACCAGAGCGCTGGCGCTCCTTCTCGTGCTGGATCATCTCAAACAGATCTGGATCATGATCCTTGAGCGGCGTCTGGCCGGGGAGCGTCTTGGGAATGTCACTCATGGTGGTGGTAGCGGTGGTGGTGGTGCTGAGGCGGCGGCGGAACCAGCGTGCGCTGCAGGACACAGAGGCGCGAAACAACTGCATCAAGTGCCGGTTGGGTGGAGACAAGGAAGTCAAGGAAGTGTGTGATGGTGAATGGGTGAGTTGGATGAAACGCAAAGGCGAGGCACAGAGCCACGGCAAACATTCCAACTTCCACCACACACACACACACACACACACACACACACACACACACACACACACACACACACACACACTGACCGATCTGGAGAAGAGGGAAATGGCTGCTGTGGTTGGTCCAGGCATTCACAACGATTTGATTCACACGCGCTGTCAGTGGAAACGTCAAGCACCAACAACACAACAACAACGCAAGGACGAGGGTGAATGAGCAAACGAAGAAACACAGGGGAGTTGACAGTGAGAAACAGCAGTTGCGGGCAGCGAGAAACAGCGACAAGCAAGCAGTGCAGTGGTGGCTCTCTCTCTGTATTGGTTGTTGGTTGTTGGCTGTTGGCTGTTGCGTACTGCTTGGTTTTGCGATTGTTGAAAAGTAGGAATGATTTGCAGCAGTTTGCGTCGGCCAGAAGGACAGCCAGCGTCATCGCTGCCACTGTGACGATGAGCGTCGCGCTGGGGTTGTGTGTGGTTGTCTGTTTGGCGGTGGCGGCCTCGGGTGTGGAGGGCCGTCAGGAAGCGCGGCGGGCTGCTGCCACGTGTGCGGATCTGGCCGGTAACGACACGTACCAGCTCTCCTTTGAAGGGTCCTGGTCATATGTGACCTTGGCACCGGCCTCGGACCCGACATCCATGGGTGCATTGGGATACCGCGTGTTCAGTGACTGGTCGCCAGGCACTCCTTTGTTCCCAGAGATTGTCACCATGGCAGTGGAGGACAGTGGCATTGCTGGAGAAGGCGACCTTTCATGCGACGCCATTGCTGACGGTGCTGTGTGTGTGTGTGTGTGTGTGTGTGTGTGTGTGTGTGTGTGTGTGTGTGTGTGTGTGCTTGTGTGTATGTGTGTGTGCTTGTGTGTGTGTGTGTGTGTGTGTGTGTGTGTGTGTGTGTGTGTGTGTAAGTGCGTGTGTGTGTGTCCTAGTTCCATTCCCCTTCCATCCCTCCCTGTGTACCCTTCTCTGCGCACCCTTCCAACCCGCCCTCGCGCTGTACCTGTAACCCTCGCACTGTCTCTGCATGCAAGTCCCTCCCTCCCTTTCTCTCGCCCTCCCTTTCTCTCGCCCTCCCTTTCTCTCGCCCTTCCACTCACGCAACCCTGCTTTGTCTGGTAGGAGGCTATGAGTGGAGACCCGACTACGCAGTGATAAAGGCAAAGTGCGGAAAGAACGTGGAGGTGCATGTGAAGGTGGCATACACCTCGTCGACCACAACGTGCGCGCAGTACACCGTGTCCAACCTCAAGCAAGCACCGGGGTCCTCCACATCTCCGCTGTCTTCTTCGCCAGCGCTGAAGCTGGTGTTTAGTGGGAAGGCACCCAACTTCTTGGGAGCCACGTCAGCGGCGCAGGTCAACGGCACCAGCATCAGCGTCGCCACAAAGGCCACCATGCCCTTGCCCCCTTACACCCAGCAGATGCACCGCTACTGGCGCGTGCAGACGTCGCTCAACACCGCGCCGTCCCTCGATGCTCAATCGCACGCATACGCGTGGTCCCTCTCCCTCCCGGCCGCAGCTACCAAGAACGTCACCTTCTGCCTGAGCGAGTACGATTCGCCCCCGTCCGCGCCAGCGCCGCTTGCACCAGTGCTGGACACCAGCAACACCACCACAGACATCAACGACTGGCTGGCGCAGCTGCCAGTGCCGCCGGCCTCAGCTCACATCGGGCCAACAGAGTTCAAGATGTACTACAACGCCTGGTTTCAGTTCTGGTTCAACACGGAGCGCGCGGGTGGAGAGCACTGGGTGCGCCCCGTCATCACCCCGTCCATGTCGCGATACGCGCGTGGTCTCTGGCTCTGGGACACGGGCTTTCACGTCTTTGCGCTGCTTGCCAGCCCAGGCTCTCGCGCGCTGGCCAAGGCGAAGGATCAGCTCACGGTTCTCACGACTGCTGGCGTCGCTGTCGGGCACATCCCTCGCGTTGTTGGCGCCACCGTCATCGAGAAGACCACCCAGCCGCCAGGCATCCTGACGTGGGCAGCCCTTGTCATCTACAACCGCACACGCGACGACGACTTTCTGCGACTCGCCTTCAATGCGTTTGCACAGAACAACGACTGGTTCTACGCGCAGCGGCTGGCCAAGGACGGCAGCGGGCTGTGCCTGTGGGCGGGCGAAGACAGCGGCTGGGACACGTCGCCGCGCTGGGATCAAGGGCCCGTGGAGGCCATCGACCTCAACACGTGGCTGCACATGGACCACCTGCTGCTGGCGCACATGGCAAAGCTGCTGGGCAATGCGACTGCGCACGACATGTGGACGCAGCGCGCGCATCAGAGCGCAGCGGCGATTCAGCGCTGGCTGTGGGACGACAGCAAGGGCGTGTTCTGGGACCGGCTGCCCGCGCAGTCGGCTGTCCAACACGATGGTGGGACCACGCGTATCCGATCACCATCGCCACCGGGCTCGTTTGTGGATGTGGTGACACCGGCGCCGTTCTGGGCGCTGCTGGGCAATGTTGCCAACGCATCCCAGGCGGAATCTGTCTCGAGCGTGCTGCTCACCCCGTCCAACCTCATGACCCCGTACCACATGCCGTGCGTGGGGCGCTCTGAGAAGGTGTTTGATCCCACAGACTACTGGCGCGGCCCCGTGTGGGTGAATGTCAACTGGCTCGCTGGCGTCGGCCTTGACTGCTACGGCCAGCACGATCGTGCAAGCATGCTGCGCAACGCCACCGTTGCGGTGGTGAACGGGCAGCCGGAGCCCCGCGAATACTACAACCCGCTCACTGGAGATGGCCTCGGTGCAAAGCGGTTCTCGTGGACTGGTGCTGTGTACATTGTCACGCTGCAGGAGATGGCGGGCAACAGCGACGTCGCAAACACGCTCCACACCATCTTGCAGTGCCGGCATTCCAAGTAGCTCTGGCGTTACGTCTATGTGTGGATCCGTTGTGTGTGTGTGTGTGTGTGTGTGTGTGGTTTGTTTGTTTGTTTGTTTGTTTGTGTGTGTGTGTTTGTGTGTGTGTGTGTGTGTGGGTTGTTTGGTTGTTTGTTTGTGTGTGTGTGTGTGTGTGTGTGTGTGTGTGTGTGTGTGTGTGTATCTTTGGGGTGTTCCTGAGTTTTTCTTTGCTGAAGCTTCCACCACAGCTCTTTGTTATCCCTTGCCGTGTGCGTTCACACGCGTGCATCAGCACAACTCATCCACACCTGCTGCATCATACGCTACGGAACTGTACTTTTTCCTTCACCATACGCAATGCAGAACAGCAAGAGCACACGAAAAAAATCTCATCAAAGGAGCTTGGGAGTAAAGTCGGCGGCAACCGGTGATGGGTTCTCAGGCAAGGCAGAGAGAGAGAGAGGGGGGAAGGGTGTAACAACGTGTGCGATCCTTCTTTGCGCAGTCACGGACAAGGAATGGACCGGGAGCAGGGTCGTGTGAGGCAAGAAAGAAGCAAAGCAAACGACGAAAGCAACGAGTGACGCGCGCGAACAACCGACCAACAGCAAACTTTGGGCTAAAACGTTGGGCGAAGGCCACAACACACACACACACACACACACACACACACACACAACCGACAAAGGACAGCGTCACGAGAGAGAGAGAGAGACGACGACAGGAAACGCCAAAACCCACACACAACACAAGGTGCCACATCGGTGGGTGTGAGATCGTGTGCCATGACTGCTCCTGAGGGAGACGCGCAACTACTTGAGCCAGTCAAGACCGTCCTCGTCCTCATCGTCATCGTCAAAGGAGAGCACGGCCTTGGATGTCGACCCCTTGGGCTTCTTAGTGGTGGCAGTCACCATGAAATCGTCGTCGTCGTCATCATCATCAAACGCGCTCAGGCTGGACGTCTTCTTCGGCTTCTCCTCCACGTCGCCTGCGCCTTCTGTTTGCTCTTCTTCCTCTCCTTGTGCTTCGTCTCCATCAGCATCATCGTTGGTCTTCGCGTCATCGTCGCTGTCGTCGGCAGCTGCCTGCTGCGTCGCTGCGCGGCTTCGCGAAATTGGCGCCGTGAAAAACGCCTCCAGATCCTCGTCTGTGGGTCACGCGCGAGTGGGGCAAGGGCGGGCACGATAAACGTGAGCACGCGTGTGTTGGTATGTGTGTATGTGTATCTGGGGTGTGTGTATCTGTGTGTGTGTGTGTATCTGGGGTGTGTGCATGTGTATGTGCATGTGCGTGCGGTTGTGTCTCTGTGCATATAACAGCGCCCGAGTCGGATCAGCAGGCAAAAGCACGACACACTTCATGCGCACGCATGACCTCAACCCCGTTCCCCGTCGCCCCCCCCCCCGCTCCCTTTCAAACATGACCAAAGACCCACCGTCGCCTTCGTCGAGGAACGAGGCCGCGTCGCCGCCGTTCGTCTCCGCAGCCGTGTCACCAGCCACCGCATCCTCCTCCTCTTCTTCCTGCTGCTCTTGCTCTTCTTGCTGCTGCGCCTCCACTGCATCTTCCGTTGCGACGTCATCCTGCTCGGTCTCTGCCTGCTCTTGCTGTTCATCCTCGTCATTGTCTGAGGAGAAGCTCGCCTCGCCGTCGCTCTCCGCACCAACAGCGGCGGGAGCAGCGCTCTCCTGTGCACCAGCGTCATCTTCGCCGTCATCAGCTGCGGCCGCTGGCTCGGCGTCAACCACCGCATCTTCGCCTTCCTCCTCATCTTCCGCATCACCCTCGTCTTCCTCCCCATCCTCCTCGTCGTCCTGCTTTGGCTCTTCAGCGGGCATTGGCGAGTCTTCCTCGGCTGCACCCGTTGTCCCCTCATCATCATCATCTTCCCCCTCCTGCTCCTGCTCCTCTTCATCCTCATCTTCGGCATCTTCGGCGTCAACCTGGGGATCTTCCTTGCCGGAGCTGTGGCCATCATCCTCCGGCTCCTCATCCTCCTGCTTGCCTGCAACAGCGGTATCATCCTCCTCTTCGTGCTGCTTCGTTTCGTTGTCATCTTCCTCTTGCTCTTGCTCCTCCTCGTCCACAGCCACAACAAGGGCGCGCCTTCCGTTGCCGTTCAAGTGGTGATCTTCACCACTGTCACTCTTCTTCTCAGCAGCAGCAACTTCTTCTTCCTCTTTCTCGTCCTCTGGATCGGCTCGAGCCTCCTTCCCCTCCTCCTGCTCTTTCTCCTTGTTCTCGGCATCCTCGGTGACAGTCGGGGCCTCTGTCGTGGGTTCCTCTCCAGCAACTTGCTTGGCTTGTTCCTCTTCCTCGTCTTCCTCGTCTTCCTCGTCTTCCTCGTCTTCCTCGTCTTCCTCGTCTTCCTCGTGGTCCTCATTCTCCTCTTCGTCCTCTTCCTCGTCTTCGTCTTCCTCCTCGTCTTCATCTTCCTCCTCGTCTTCATCTTCTTCTTCCTCTTCGTCCTCGCTCTCGCTTTCTTCCTCTTCTTCCTCGTCATTTTCCTCCTTCCCCTCCTCTGTGGGCTTGGTGGGGGTTGCTGCACCAAGTGCAATCACCTTCTTCGTCTCGCCCACGATCACCTGAGACGGTACACATACAAGCAAATGATGACACCAAACACGGCATTAGCGCGCGCACGCACGCACACATTTGCATGCACCAAAGTCTCATGCCACCCACCCACCACCCACCACCATCGCAACGATTCTCGTCACCAGGAACACACCTCCTTTGCGAGCTGCATGACGGCGGCGCTGGTGAGCGATTCCTCACCTGCAACACGGGCCTGGAACTGCTTGTACACCTGCGACCACACCACCCCATTGCACGCGGGACACAGTGAGAGTCAAGAACAACAAAAGGTCACATACACACTCACAACCAAATGCAATTGCACACAAACCACACACACACACACACACAATACGCACACACATACATACACACACGCGAACCCGAACACCAAGCAGACCTGGTTCATGATGCGGCGAACGTCGGTCACAGTGAAGCCGGCAGCAGCTGCTGCGGCAACGGGTGCAGCTGCCTGCTGCTGTGCCGCCGCTACTGCTTTCTCCTCGGCCTTTGTGGCCTCGGACTGCCAGTGAAGCGCCTGAGGGGATGAGGGATAGTGCAGTGTCAGCAACACATGTCAACGATTCAAGACAATGTGGCAGAGGGATATGTGAGCGAGCACGCTGGCACACGCAAACACGAACTCAGCGTACAAGCTCGCCCTGTGGCACACACGCGCAAAAATATGCTTACAAAACACGCCGAAACACCACCCAACCTCTCCTTCTTTTCATCTCATTCGCACCTGTTGCTGAGCCTCCCGGAGCTGTGCACGAAGGGTGGCGACCTGCTTAGAGTTCACCTGCGACGCGCGGGCGGTCTCAAGCTCGTCCTCAAGCGCCTGCACGGGCGTGCCAAAAGCAAGACGCACATCACGGCAGAGGTATATGTGTGTGTGCGTGCGTGTGACGTCAATGGTGAGGTGCTGTCGGGCAAAACCAGCGCAGTCATGGCAGAGGAAAGCATAGCCATTTTGGCAGTCATGAATTGGACGTACCTCACACTTTGCCTTCCACTGCTTTGTGGCGGCTGTGGCCTTTGACAGGTTGGCCTTGTATTGGGCCTCAAGCTCCTCCTTAGCTTGCTCCGCCGCAGCCTCGCTCGCCGTTTCGGAACTCTGCTTTGCCTTTCGAAGCTGCGCAAGTGTGCATGTTGCATGCAACACGGAGGAGTGTGAAGGGGTTGGGGGGGGGCTTGGTGAGTGCACTTTTGTGCTCACATGCAAATACGCACACAGGCACGAACACACACACACACACACACACACACACACACACACACACACACACACACACACACACACACACGACGACAACGACGACACGACACACACACACACACACACACACACACACACACACACACACACACACACACACACACACAAGAGCAGACAGACACAAACGCACACACAAACGCACACACACACACACACGCAAACACACAAACGCACGCAAACACACAACCAAGCAAATGGCCAACACAAAGGGCGCATGCATGTGTACCTGGCGCTTGAGGGAGGAGACCTGGTCCTCAAGCTGGGTCTTGGCCTCCTCAAACTCCTCCTCCATCGCTGCGCGCTCCTTGGCCGCCTTCTTCTTCACGCCTTCAGCCTTCTTCGCCGCAGACTCAAGGTCGTGCTTCGTGTCGCTCAGCTCTTCCTCAAGGGCAGCAACCTGGCACAGGACCACCAACATGATGAGGTGCGTGTGTGACATGTGTGTATGTTGATGACAGTGAGAGGGGTGGAACGAGGGGACAAACGCGCAGAACGACTGGTTCAAACACAAGACACCAACGTGCGAATACAAAAGGTGCACGCCAGAACAACACGCATGCGCACAGCAGCTGTGTGTACCCTTTTCTTGATGTCCTTGTTCTGCTGCCGCTCCTGTGAACGGTGGACACATTCAGGGCATCAGCGACACGACAACAGTGCATTGCAAGCTCACAAGACCAAACAGGTGGAGTCATGTGACCGCACGACAGCAAACACAATGGCGCCTCGACATGCGGCCACATCAACACTGGCACCACAACGCAAGCACCAGCATCAACGCAACAGCACGGGTATTTGCAGCACCTCCTTGAGAGCCCGGTTGAGCTCCTCTATCTTGACAGCGGACCCGCTCTCCGCAGCCTTGAGCGACGCCGCCTCGCTCGACGCGCGGTCGTGCTGGTATTGGTGATGACATGCCACGGACAAGGTGAGAAGCACAGCACATCATCAGCGTGCGGTGATATGTGTATGTATGTGTGTATGTATGGTACAGCCAAGGTTGCGGCTCGCTCGCCGTCACTATCGACCAAAGCACGCACCTCCTCCTTGATTGAGTCGAGCTCTGCCCTGAGGGCCTGTTCGGTGGCCTTGAGGGTCTGCAGTTCCTCCTGCAGTTCAGAGAGGCGCTTGGTCGCCGCAGAGAGCTCGTCCATCCGCTCAGACCGCTCCTTCTCAAGCTCAAGCACCCTGCACCACGCACGCAGCGCAACCAAGGCCATCGGCATAAGTGTGTGTGTGTGTGTGTGTGTGTGTGTGTGTGTGCGCGTGTGTGTGTGTGTGTGTGTGTGTGTGTGTGTGTGTGTGTGTGTGTGTGTGTGTGTGTGTGTGTGTGTGTGTGTGTGATTGGTGTCAGTGTGAATATTTGCGTTGGGTGTCGTGTGGCGATGTTGTGTGTGTGTGTGCGTGAACGAATGGTGAAGGCGCTCAACAGCACGAGGACGAGAAAGAAAGAGCATGTTGTTGGCACGTATTGGGGTGCCATGGCTGACCTGGCCTGTGCCTGTGCTGTCGTTTGCTTGAAGGAGTCATTTCGCTGCTCAAGGATGAGGTTGTTCTCCTCCACGTATCTGTTCACAGTTGATTGTGCAAGCACACACGTGCATAATACGCGGTCGGTGAGGGAGGGAGTGGAGGACAGAGAGGGTGGGTAGGTTCTGTGAACAAACAGAACAGGAGAGGTGGGCGAAACAGCGGCTGACTTTTGGTTTCGGTCGAGGAGTTCGGCAATCTTCTCGTTCTGCTTCTCGATGCGCGCGCTCTTCTCAAACACCTGTGCCATCAGGAGACATGAAGCGAATGCCGGGCAGCGGAGAAGCACAGCCAACCATGTACGAATGAGGGAATGCACTCGATCAAGTTACAGTATTAAGCGGTCGCAGACAGCTGTCGCGCACTCGGAAGCACACCATTGGCGCACGACCGCACACGTGTGTGTGTGCGTGCGTGTGTGTGTGCGTGCGCGTGCGCGTGCGCGCGCGCGTGTGTGTATGTGTGTGTGTGTGTGTGTGTGCGTGCGTGCGTGCGTGCGTGTGTGTGTGTGTGTGTTTGTGCGCACCTCCTTCTTGAGGCGGTCGCTCTCCGCGATGATGCGCTGGATGTTGTACATCAGCACCTGGCGCAAAATCACACGACACGACGATGGCGAGGAGTGAGATGACGCAGCCGGTGGTGATGTCAGCATTGTAAACGCATGAACGAACACAGACAACACACAACACAACACACCACGACACAACACACCACGACACGCACCTGTGACTCCATCTGAGGCATGGAAGCGCCAAAGGGGGACAGGGCGGAGGATTCGCGCAGCTTGTCGAGCTTCTCGTTAGCCGAGTCCACCCGCTGCGAAATCGTCTTCAGAGTGTCGGCCGTCTCTGCAGAAGGCGCAAGAACCAGGAATGCGCGTGAGTTGACGCGAGTTACATGGTCCTGTGCATGCGTGCGTGTGTGCGCGCGCGCGCGCGTGTGTGTGCATGTGTGCGTGTGCATACACATGTGTGTGTGCATGTGTGCGTGTGCATACACATGTGTGTGCTTTCCATTTGCACTTCAGTCAGTGCACGAACGAACCTTCCATGTATTTTGACTGGCGGTCAGGAGGAGTCTGCTGGTTCTCTTGCTGTTGCTGCTGTTGCTGCTGTTGCTGCTGTTGTTGCTGTGATTGTTGTTGCTGCTGGTTCATTCCAAACCCTGGCTGCTGCCCTTGCTGCTGCTGTTGTACCTGGTTGTACCCTGGTGGTGCAAACCCTGGCTGTTGTGCCTGCTGCTGCGGGTTCATGCCCATGAAGGGCTGTTGCTGCTGTGGATTGTAAAGACTCAGCGCATTCTGAAGGAAAGCGCGCAAGGACAGAAGGACACGCACACATACATGGGTGAGGAAAAGGCATGCGTGATTGGCAGGCGCATGTGGCTTGCCCATGGGGTCGTCCACAATCACACAGAACACCACACACACACATGCGCACATGCACACAGGTATACATACACCCACAAACACACACATACATGCACATCGAAGCTGTGTAATTTTCTATACCCGCACACAACTGACCGTTGGCTGCTGCTGCTGCTGGAACGGCTGGAACTGCGATGAGGGCGGCATGTTTGGGTTCTGCATAAACTGCTGGTTTGGTTGCTGCTGCCCTTGCATCATGCCTTGCTGCCCATACATGTTCATGGCGTTTGGCTGGCTCTGCGGCTGCTGCATCATGTTGTGCTGCATGCCGCCCTGCTGGTTGAACGCGTTCATGTTGCCAGCTGCGCCCTGCATCCCAAACGGCTGCTGCTGGTGCTGCTGCTGCTGCGAGGGGTCTGCGACACCCATCATCTGCGCCATCATCTGCTGCTGCATCGCATCAGGCGTTGCGCTGAACAAAACGACGAGCGGCAACGGAGACAAGGGGGGGGGGCATGATGAAAGGTGAGCTGGGTTGGGGGGGGGGGGGAGTGCCACGTCTATTTGCGGGACAAGGATGCGGTGTGGCAGAGAGGGTGGAGCATTGAACATGGCAAGCCGTGACCACGGGCTGTGCAGCTGAATGCTCATGAGGTGCGCACTGCAAGGACAACATGATTGAATCGCACCCTCCGAGCATGCTGGTGCCCATCTTTGCCATGCGCTCCAGCACACGCGCTTTGTGCGACGTCATGTCCTCGTCGGCAGCTGTGTGAGTAGGTGTGTGTGTGTGTGTGTGTGTTGGGGAAGTGTGTGTGTGTGTGTGTGTGTGTGTGGGTGTGTGTGTGTGGGTGTGTGTGAGCAGTTGGTGTCGGTGGCGATGGTTGCAGTGGGGAATGTGTGAAGGAACGATGGTAGCAAGCACACAAACGCGTGCAAAGGCACGTACCACAAGCTTACACACTCACAAGCACACATGCACCATTGTCATGACAAAACAAGTGTTTTCTCACATGCAGCTGCGTCTGTGCTGGCGTCGTGGTCGTCGTGTGCGGTAAGCGTTGAGGGCGCTGGGGAGGCGTCACGCCGCTTGTCCTTGTCCGCCTTTCGCGCCGGTGTCGACGTCGACGTGGGCCCGCCGCCCTTGATCTCCTCTCCCTTGTGCTTGTGGCGCAGCACCTCCGCTTCAATCACAATGTCGCTGCAGCAAGCAAGGAAGGAAGGAAGCCAGGACATGGGTAGGGGAGGAGTGCGTATGTGGGAATGTGCAGAGGTGTATGTAGTGGGTGCTGACGGTTAGAAGAGCATTGAACGTGGAGGATTCGGATTGCACATGCGTTTCACGACATAACAAAACGAAACAGGCCTCATAGCAAACCAAAGCAAACCAAAGACAAGTGTTTCTCACGAAATGCATGTACGTGCACGGCACCTGTTCGCGGGGATGTTTGCCGCGCCAGCAGCGCCGTAAGCGGAGGCCGAGGCGATGGCGATGACACGCCGCCCGCCCTTCTTCATGCCAAGCACACCTGCCCCCAAGTTGCCGTAGTGAAGGTGGGTGAGTCAATGAGATTGTGTATGTGTGCGTATTTGTGAGTGTGTGTGTGTGTTGGGGGGGGGTGTGCGTGCGTGCGTGCGTGAATTTGTGTTTGCAAGTGTAAGCAACACATCACAGATTCGCAGTTGAGGACATGGCGCTTGGTAAGAGCAAAGGAATTGCGCGGAAGGAAAGCCACACCTTGGTCGAAGCCCTGAACGACCTTGTTCTTGCCGACCTTGAACTTGTAGCCCTTCTCCGCGCTGATGTTACTGTAGTACTCCTGGAAAAATCAAACAGCAGCACAGGCGGGTGGGAAGGCAGTCAGAGGTAAGCCACGATGCACAAGGACAGTACAACAAGGGGGAAAAGAGATATACAGGCACAAGTTCAGCAACACACACACACTCCACCACACACACACACACACACACACACACACACACACACACACACACACACACACACAACCAAGCACAACCAAGCACAGCCAAGCACCAGCAAGTACAACCAAGCACAACAAGCAAATGACCACCTTTCCGAAGGCGCCACGGTCGAGGAGCCAGCCCGTGTACTTGACCTCGATGCTGTCCCCGCTCACAATCTCCTTCGCCCCGCCGCCAAGCACAAGGTCTGACCACAACAACAACAACAACAACAGCAGCAGCAGCAGCAGCAGCAGCAGCAGCAGAATGCAGCAACACGCAGACAGGGTGAGGTATGACCGGGAAGAGGAGGAAAAAGACACCGTGCCACGTATTTGGGCGATAAGTGGTGGCAACAGCAGACCCGCGATCCCCCAGTATAGAAATCAAAACACGCGTCAGTTCACAGCCACCCACGCCACCTCCTTCCCACCACTGCGATGGCCGCCCACCTTGGGTGATGAAGTCGGCGACGCCGCCAGAAGCAAAGCGGGCGAGCGCGATGTTGCGCAGGAACGCGTTTGTCTGTTCGTCCGTCTCAAAGCGGATGGACCAGTTGACGCGTGCATCGTCGTAGAAGTTGATGTAGTTGCTGCCCTGTGGAACGACGGCAAAGTCCCGCGTGATGCCCGCGCGCGCAACCTGCTTCCGACTCGCATCGTACACGTACACGCAGTACTGCAACCACAAGTACGCGTGCGTGTGCGTGTTTGTGTGTTTTTGTGAGTGTGTGTGGTTTTGTGAGTGTTTTTGAGAGTGTTTGTGTGTGCGTGTGTGTGTTTTTGTGAGGGTTTATATGCGTGAGTCAAAACATTCTCCGCACAAGACTGGAAGCGGATGTCAGCAGACACCAGCAAACGCCACGCATCGTCATGACAGAGCACACGTATGAGCCGCACCTTCTTGGAGTCAAAGTCGCCCATGATGGCGCAGCCGAGCTTGCCCTTTGGCGCGTACTGCCCGTTCACACTGCAGTGAACAACACAACAAGTGCAGTGAGTGAACGACGCAATGCAAAGCTGCGACGAAACATGCAACCACACACTCGCAAACGCACGTTTGCACACACACACAATATTACACACGAACACACACACAATCCCACAATAACACACACACACAATCACGCACACACACACACACACACAAACACGCGCGTTCGCTCACTTTTGATAGACGTGAGCGGTGACGGCATGAATCACGCCGAGGTTTTTATCACCTGTACAAGTCAAATGCACATGCGTGAGATGAGATGTGCAGCAGGAACGTATGGCAGGGAAAGCCACGCCACGCCACAAATGACGACACTTGCAACACAACACGTTGCCTGCAAGTGGACAAGAGGTTGATTGCAGGTGCTCACCGCTTCCTGGGCGCTGAGCTTGAGCGGCTTGCTGCTGCTGTTGCTGTTGCTGTTGCGGCGCCTCCTGCCGCGTGTAGGTGAAGGAGTCATTGCCCTCTGCTGGCTGGGAGCTTGCAAACAAGCCGCTCAAGTTGGTGCTGCACAAGCAAGCATCATGTAGCAACACGTTGCACATGTTGAGTCGGTGAACTGCAACTGAATTTGCACTCATAAACACACGCGCACACACACACAGACATAGACACACACACAGACAAAACACACACGCACGCACACACACTCAAACACACACACACGTCCACACACACACACACACACACACACATCCACGTATACACACATCCACACACACACACTTGCACTGCGCACCGAATAGCATACCCAGATCTGGACGGCAAAAAGTCGTTCTCGTCCGCCTCAAAGTTGAGGGCCATGACGTCCTGTCTGCGTTGTTGCTTGTGGAATGCGACCACCTCGATGGGATCTGGTGCGTTGATGACGTTCAAGCCTTCTCGCCTTCGCCTGTCACTGTTGCGAAAGAGCCGGCGAAACATGACAGGCACAGACACAACAACACCAGCCACAGGCCGTCAACAATTCGACAAAACCAGACCAACCACGACGACACCGAACAACAACGAGCACACACACTCACACACACTCTCACACACACACACACACACACACTCACACACTCACACACTCACTCTCTCTCTTTCACGCAAATGCATAATTGCAACCCTACACTGCCAAAGCGCTCTCCGCGCTTCCACAACAACAGCAACAGCAACGCGGAAGGAGCACTGGCTCCCCTCCTCCCTCTGCTTGTCCTTTCCCACTGCAGCAGCACAACACACCAAACAAGCCGAACCAACCCAAACACAAACCTCACCTTCCTCCAGGCAGTGGTGTGGAAAATCTATGACTATCATTCGCAGCTTTTCTACAGTGCACAGCAGTGGTGATGACGATGGTGACGAGCCCACACACCACCACCACCACCACCAGCTCCAGCTCCGGCAGCACCCGCGCAAGCGGCGGCGGTGTCTGCGTTGCGGTTGCCAGTATGGAAGAGGCAAGGTCATCACAGCACTGCCAACACATCCGCTGTAAGCAGTGGCGGATACACAGGTGCGGCAGGCCTGAGCGAACTCAGACGCCGCGGCGTGCGGGGATAACGACGCTGCCCGTGATCACTGTCATCATCTTGTTCGTGTGCGTGGCACAGCAGCACCATGTGGTGCGCGCAGAGCCCCGCGTGGATGGTGCTGGCGCTGCCCAGCCCCAGAACGCGGGGGTGCCGTCGCGAGCATCGTCGTCAAAGAACAGGGCCATTGGGTATCTGGACGAGCTTGAGTTTCAAACACAGTGCACGAACAAGCACCTTGGCATGCACCTGTTCCAGTTTTCACGGGACTCCCTGAAGCGGACCCGGCAGTTTGCCAGCGCACCAGGGGATGAGATTTCCACTGGCGCGTTCCTGGGGCGGGATCTGACGTTTCCAGCAAGCTTGACAGACCTGCCCGTGTCCTTTGACATTGTGTCGAGCGGGCACGCTGCCTCGCACTACAGCGGCATCGTGTATGGGCACATGCACGACACGGCCGGCGAAGAGCATGCTGTGCTTCAGGTCAACTCACACCCGGGCAACGACGACTTTCGCATTGCCTTCTCCAACAAGGTTGAGCGAAATAGGGACATGAACGCCGTTTGCTTGCTTTGGCGGATGGCAGGGTTGTTGCGGGTGGGCTGTGCGACTGGTGGAGTGGTTGTTTGTTCGTTTGTTTGTTGTTTGTTTGTTTGTTTGTTTGTTTGTTGTTGTTGTTGTTGTTGCAATTGTTGTTGGTGTTGTTGGTGTTGGTGTTGTTGTTGTTGTTGTTGTTGTTGTTGTTGTTATTGTTGTTGTTGTTGTTGTTGTTATTGTTGTTGTTGTTATTGTTGTTGTTGTTGTTGTTGTTGTTGTGTATGTGTGTGTGTGCGTGTGTGTAGCTAGTGTGTGCACCCCTTACAATGTGCTTGCTTATCCGCACTCACTCTTGGTGTGTCGTCGTGTGTTTGTGTTCATGTTTAGGTGTACCATCGCAGCACGCCTTACCAGCAGCTGTACGCCGTTGGGATCACATTGCACGGCAACGCGGACACCACAAATGAAGTCTTGACCGCATACTCGCCGGCGGTGTGTGCATGTGCAAGCTGTGTTGATTTGCTCTGCGCTTGTGTGTGCTTTTGTCTGTCTGTCTGTCTGTTTGTCTGTCTGTGTATGCGTACGTGGACGTGTGTGTTTATGTGTCTGTCTGTGAATACGTATGTTGCTGTATGTGCCCATGTATGCCTACATGTGCGCATGCTTCCGTTTGCTTGCGTGGTGCTCAATTACGCGACAACTTGTTGTTTCATTCTTGGCCGACGCTCAACCCCACTGCTGATGTTGCGCTGTGCAGGGAGAAGTGTTGGTGCAGTTGACGTCCTTGCCACCAGCGCACAGCCACGGCGATGTAAGTTCACCTTTCAACAGCACCACCAGCAACCGCAGGTAGCATTCCACACAGAAATCTAGGCGCGCACTCACACACACATACACATACATACTCACACACACACATACATACATGCACACACATACATACATACATACAAACATACATGCACACGTACATACACACACACGTGTGCAGACATTCCTTGGTGTCGTGTCCAATGTGCCGATTGGCGCCATCACCTTTGACGAAAACGGACAGGACGACGATCCCGTCAGCATCAAGCAGGTCTGTGGTCTTCGTGGAGAAGTAAACTGCCTCGCGTGTTGTTGCATGCCACCCACCTGTTATCGTTCCATACACACTACTGTACACACACTCACGATAATACACACACACACAACCACATACACACAAACAAACAACCACACATACACACGCACACACACGCGCACACAAACAAACAAACAAACAAACAAACAAACACACACACGCACACACAAACAAACAAACAAACAAACAAACAAACAAACACACACAAACAAACAAACAAACAAACAAACAAACAAACAAACAAACAAACAAACAAACAAACAAACAAACAAACAAACAAACAAACAAACAAACAAACAAACAAACAAACAAACACATGTTTACACGCACATGTACAGGTGTACATTGGCGTGCGGGAGGCGAATCTGCTGGACGACCTGCACCCTGCGCACCGACGGGTGTTCTGGATTGCCTTCAACATCTTCATCGTCATGATGCTTGCTGTGGACATGCTGCTTGGCCGCAGCCGCTCCGTCGTCCTGTTTGACGCCCTCGTCTGGTCCGCCATCTGGATTGCGCTCGCCCTCCTCTTCTCCGGGTTTGTGTTCATCTCCCGCGGGCGCGGCCCTGCGCTGGTCTGGCTCACCTCGTATCTGCTCGAGAAGTTTCTCAGCGTGGACAACCTCTTTGTCTTCCTCACCATCTTCGCCGCCTTCCGCACGCCCTCGCAATACCAGCACAAGGCGCGTATCGAGGACGGTTCTTTGTGTGTGTGTGTGTGTGTGTGTGTGTGTGTGTGTGTGTGTGTGTGTGTGTGTGTGTGTGTGTGTGTGTGTGTGTGCGTGTGTGTGTGCGTGTGTGCGTGTGTGTGTGCAACGCCGTCTCTCTGCACGCCGACGCAATCAAGCTCACGTCATGCTTTCACCCACCTCATTCACCCCGTACACCACATGGATCAATCACCAACCAACCAACCACTGTTCATGCGCTTCTTGTTAACGTTGGCAGGTGCTGTCGTGGGGCATTGCGGGCGCCATTGTGCTGCGTGCGGTGTTCATCTTCACGGGGGTGCTGCTTGTGGAGAAGTTTTCGTGGCTGTTAGCCCTCTTTGGCGTCTTCCTCGTCTACACGGGCGTCCGTGCAATAGCAGAGACCTGCAGCCAAGGTGCCTCACTGTGGTTTACGGCGCTGGTCGTTTGTTGTGGTTGATGGTTGGACTTGTTTTGCTGAGTTTTGCTGGTCGTTAGCTGTTGCTTGGTCGTTGTTGATATCTTGGTGTACTTTGCACTCAGCGCTTGCACGAGCGCGTGCCCTTGACACTCACCATGTCATCGCATGCGTGAACCCGCCATTCATGTTCTGCCGTTGTCGACCGCCTCAAACCTCCTCCGCTGGCTGCAGACGAAGAGGAGTCGATGTTTGGCTTTGACGCCGGGAGCAGTGACCACCTCCCAGCCGCTGCGCTGAAGAACAACCTCGCCCTCAGCATTGTCGGCTCCGTCATCCCCGTCTCCCGCCGCTACGACCCAAAGGGCCGCTTCTTCGTGCGCGAGGTGGGGTTTTTAGTGTGTGTGTGTGTGTGTCGTGTGTGTGTGTGTGTGTGTGTGTGTGCGTGTGTGTGTGTGTGTGCGTGTGTGCGTGTGTGTGTGTGTGTGCGTGTGTGTGTGTCTGTCTGTGTGTGTGTGTGTGTCTGTCTGTCTGTCTGGCTGGCTGGCTGGCTGGCTGGCTGGCTGGCTGTCTGTCTGTCTGTCTGTCTGTCTCTCTAAAATCGCCTCTCCATCTGTTGTGCGCGTGTGTCTGCCTGCCTGCCTACTTTCCTCTGTGTCTGCCTGCTTCCCTCTCTGCTCGTCTGTTTAAATGTGTTTGTGTATGCACCACATCCGCCTCCCCCGGGTCTGTTCTGCTGTGTATGTTCCGTTTCTTTCTCGCACTACATCCAACGATCCACACACCCTGCTTCTCACCCGCTCCCATTCAACACGTGATCAGGATGGCGGGGACGATGCGAGCATGACGCTGCCTGTCTCCACCCGCGCCGCCTCCCGCTTCCGCGCCCACTGGATCGCCGCCAAGAACTGCCTCAGCGCGCCCTTCCGCGTGTGCGTGCGCGTGTGCGGGCTGAGCGGCTTCAAAGCCACGCCGCTCTTTGCCGTGCTGGTCATTGTGGAGACGACGGATATGGTGTTTGCTGCAGACTCCATCCCCGCGGTGCTGTCCATCACGCAGGACCCGTTTGTCGCCTACACCTCCAACATCTTCGCCGTGCTCGGGCTGCGCGCGCTGTACTTTGCGCTGGCGGCCGCCATGACCAAGTTCAGGTACCTCGGGCCAGGCCTGGGCATCATCCTGCTGTTCATTGGCGCAAAGCTGCTGCTGGTGATGGTGGACGTGCACGTGTCTGTTGAGGCGACGCTACTCGTCGTTCTCGGCACGCTCGCTGCCGCCATCCTGCTCTCCCTCGCCCGACCAGGGCACAGCAGCGACAGCCAGGGACCCAGCAGCAGCGGCAAGAGCAGCAAGAGCAGCAGCGGCGGTGGCAGCGATGCCCACCACCATCACTACCTTCATGGCTCCACGGACAAGGCGGCTGGGCGGGCTCCGAGGGGCATGAGCAGCACCAGCACCAGCACCAGCACCAGCCCTGGGGGCGGACTGCCTGGTCTGGCGATGGGTGGTAACGACGTGATGTTGGCGTCGCCGCTCTCGCCACCGGGCAGTGCTGGCCACGCTGCTTGGCCACACGCATCACTGCAGCCAGCAGCACCAGCAGCGGCACAACCTGACACCACCACCGTGACCATGTTTTCGCAATGACGTGCTTGCAGCGTGCTGGCTGGCGGCGAGCAGCCATTATCACTTGCGATGGCTTTAACCAACGACAGGCTAGGAATCCCATTGTGACGCAACACGTGCACTGCTGCGCTTGCTTGTGCTCCACCCCTCGCTAGCTAGCTACCTACCTTGCATGCTTGCGATCGCGCTTGCTTGCTGGCTGGCTGGCTGTTTTTTCCTTGTGCTTGCTAGGCTGTACACGGTTGCTTGACAGGCAGGCAGGCAGGCAGGCTTCTGTGTCCTCTGTGTCTTCTGTGTCTTCTGACGCGTATGCTCATTTCATGTTTGAGAAATCACCGGCTTCTCCCTGCTCCCTCCGTCTCTCTCTCCACTTTGGCCTGTGTGCGTCTGTTGTGCGTCTGTTCTCGATTGCCGATAGAGATGTGTAACTGATGTGATATGAAGCCAGGCAAGACGCATGGCCATCAAGGAAGCAAAAGGGGATGTGTTCCAGCAGATAACAATAAGCAGCTGC